ACCCATAGAATAGGTGAATGGTTGTCCATTCCACAACCGATAGAATAGGTGAATGGTTGTCCATTCCACAACCCATAGAATAGGTGAATGGTTGTCCATTCAATAACCCATAGAATAGGTGATGTCCATTCCACATCCATAGAATAGGTGAATGACCTGGAACATTGTCCATTCCACAACCCATAGAATAGGTGAATGGCCTGGAACATTGTTCATTCCACAACCCATAGAATAGGTGAATGGTTGTCCATTTCACAACCCATAGAATAGGTGAATGGTTGTCCATTCCATAACCCATAGAAAAGGTGAATGGTTGTCCATTCCACAACCCATAGAAAAGGTGAATGGTTGTCCATTCCATAACCCATAGAAAAGGTGAATGGTTGTCCATTCCACAACCCATAGAATAGGTGAATGGTTGTCCATTCCATAACCCATAGAATAGGTGAATGGTTGTCCATTCCACAACCCATAGAATAGGTGAATGGTTGTCCATTCCATAACCCATAGAAAAGGTGAATGGTTGTCCATTCCACAACCCATAGAATAGGTGAATGGCCTGGAACATTGTCCATTTCACAACTCATAGAATAGGTGAATGGTTGTCCATTCCACAACCCATAGAATAGGTGAATGGTTGTCCATTCCATAACCCATAGAAAAGGTGAATGGTTGTCCATTCCACAACCCATAGAAAAGGTGAATGGTTGTCCATTCCATAACCCATAGAAAAGGTGAATGGTTGTCCATTCCACAACCCATAGAATAGGTGAATGGTTGTCCATTCCATAACCCATAGAATAGGTGAATGGTTGTCCATTCCACAACCCATAGAATAGGTGAATGGTTGTCCATTCCATAACCCATAGAAACGGTGAATGGTTGTCCATTCCACAACCCATAGAATAGGTGAATGGCCTGGAACATTGTCCATTTCACAACCCATAGAATAGGTGAATGGTTGTCCATTCCACAACCCATAGAATAGGTGAATAGTTGTCCATTCCACAACCCATAGAATAGGTGAATGGTTGTCCATTCCACAACCCATAGAATAGGTGAATGGTTGTCCATTCCATATCCCATAAAAAAGGTGAATGGTTGTCCATTCCACAACCCATAGAAAAGGTGAATGGTTGTCCATTCCACAACCCATAGAATAGGTGAATGGTTGTCCATTCCATAACCCATAGAATAGGTGAATGGTTGTCCATTCCACAACCCATAGAATAGGTGAATGGTTGTCCATTCCACAACCCATAGAATAGGTGAATGGTTGTCCATTCCACAACCCATAGAAAAGGTGAATGGTTGTCCATTCCACAACCCATAGAATAGGTGAATGGTTGTCCATTCCACAACCCATAGAATAGGTGAATGGTTGTCCATTCCATAACCCATAGAATAGGTGAATGGTTGTCCATTCCACAACCCATAGAATAGGTGAATGGTTGTCCATTCCCCAACCCATAGAAAAGGTGAATGGTTGTCCATTCCCCAACCCATAGAGTAAGTGAATGGTTGTCCATTCCATAACCCATAGAATAGGTGAATGGTTTTCCATTCCATAACCCATAGAATAGGTGATGTCCATTCCAAAACCCACAAACTAGGTGATGTTCATTCCACAACCCATAGAATAGGTGAATGGTTGTCCATTCCACAACCCATAGAAAAGGTGAATGGTCGTCCATTCCACAACCCACAGAATAGGTGATGTCCATTCCACAACCAATAGAATAGGTGAATGCTTGTCCATTCCACAACCCATAGAATAGGTGAATGGTTGTCCATTCCATAACCCATAGCATAGGTGATGTCCATTCCAAAACCCATAGACCAGGTGAATGGTTGTCCATTCCACAACCCATAGAATAGGTGAATGGTTGTCCATTCCACAACCCATAGAATAGGTGAATGGTTGTCCATTCCAAAACCCACAGAATAGGTGATGTCCATTCCACAACCCATAGAATAGGTGAATGATTGTCCATTCCACAACCCATAGAATAGGTGAATAGTTGTTCATTCCACAACCCATAGAATAGGTGAATGGTTGTCCATTTCACAACCCATAGAATAGGTGATGTCCATTCCACATCCCATAGAATTGATGAGTGGTTGTCCATTCCTCAACCCATAGAATAAGTGAATTGTTGTCCATTCCACAACCCATAGAATAGGTGACTTCCATTCCAAAACCCATAGAATAGGTGAATGGTTGTCCATTCCACAACCCATAGAATAGGTGATGTCAATTCCACAACCAATAGAATAGGGGAATGGTTGTCCATTCCATAACCCATAGAAAAGGTGATGTCCATTCCACAACCCACAAAATAGATGATGTCCATTCCACAACCCATAGAATAGGTGATGTCCATTCCACATCCCATAGAATACTGTAAATTCAGAAATTATTGTGTGCATTTATTATTGGGATTTTGTCAATTTTGATTAAAATACGATTTTAATTTTTGTGATTTTGAGAAAAATCCTGTTTAATTCATATACAAAATTTCAAAATGCAAGTTTAAATTATTGCGTTTATAACCCTGTCGCATTTTCGCAATAATAAAAACATCGCAATAATTTCTGAATTTACAGTAGGTGAATGGTTGTCCATTCCACAACCCATAGAATAGGTGATGTCCATTCCACAACTCATAGAATAGGTGAAAGGCCTGGAACATTGTCCATTCCACAACCCATAGAAGAGGTGAATGGTTGTCCATTCCACAACCCATAGAAAAGGTGATGTCCATTCCACAACCCACAGAATAGGTGATGTCCATTCCACAACCCATAAAATAGGTGATGTCCATTCCACAACCCATAGAATAGGTGATGTCTATTCCACAACCCATAAAATAGGTGATGTCCATTCCACAACCCATAGAATAGGTGATGTCCATTTCACAACTTATAGAATAGGTGATGTCCATTCCACAACCCATAGAATAGGGGAATTGTTGTCCATTCCACAACCCATAGAATAGGTGGTGTCTATTCCACAACCCATAGAATATGTGAATGGTTGTCCATTCCACAACCCATAGAAAAGGTGATGTCCATTCCACAACCCAAGAATAGGTGATGTCCATTCCACAACCCATAGAATATGTGAATGACCTGGAACACTGTCCATTCCACAACCCATAGAATAGGTGAATGACCTGGAACATTGTCCATTCAACAACCACATAATAGGTGAACGGTTGTCCATTCCACAACCCATAGAATAGGTGATGTCCATTCCACAACCCATAGAATAGATGATGTCCATTCCACAACCCATAGAATAGGTGATGTCCATTCCATAACCCATAGAATAGGTGATGTCCATTCCACAACCCATAGAGTAGGTGAATGGTTGTCTATTCCACAACCCATAGAATAGGTGAATGGTTGTCTATTCCACAACCCATAGAATAGGTGAATGGCCTGGAACATTGTCCATTCCACAACCCATAGAATAGGTGAATGGCCTGGAACATTGTCCATTCCACAACCCATAGAATAGGTGAATGACCTGGAACATTGTCCATTCCACAACCCACAGAATAGGTGAATGGTTGTCCATTCCACAACCGATAGAATAGGTGAATGGTTGTCCATTCCACAACCCATAGAATAGGTGAATGGTTGTCCATTCAATAACCCATAGAATAGGTGATGTCCATTCCACATCCATAGAATAGGTGAATGACCTGGAACATTGTCCATTCCACAACCCATAGAATAGGTGAATGGCCTGGAACATTGTTCATTCCACAACCCATAGAATAGGTGAATGGTTGTCCATTTCACAACCCATAGAATATGTGAATGGTTGTCCATTCCATAACACATAGAATAGGTGATGTCCATTCCACAACCCATAGAATAGGTGATGTCCATTCAACAACCCATAGAGTAGGTGAATGGTTGTCTATTTTACAACCCATAGAATAGGTGAATGGTTGTCTATTCCACAACCCATAGAATAGGTGAATGGCCTGGAACATTGTCCATTCCACAACCCATAGAATAGGTGAATGGCCTGGAACATTGTCCATTCCACAACCCATAGAATAGGTGAATGACCTGGAACATTGTCTATTCCACAACCCATAGAATAGGTGAATGGTTGTCCATTCCACAACCGATAGAATAGGTGAACGGTTGTCCATTCCACAACCCATAGAATAGGTGAATGGTTGTCCATTCAATAACCCATAGAATAGGTGATGTCCATTCCACATCCATAGAATAGGTGAATGACCTGGAACATTGTCCATTCCACAACCCATAGAATAGGTGAATGGCCTGGAACATTGTTCATTCCACAACCCATAGAATATGTGAATGGTTGTCCATTTCACAACCCATAGAATATGTGAATGGTTGTCCATTCCATAACACATAGAATAGGTGATGTCCATTCCAAAACCCACAGACTAGGTGATGTCCATTCCACAACCCATAGAATAGGTGAATGGTTGTCCATTCCACAACCCATAGAATAGGTGGTTGTCCATTCCACAACCCATAGAATAGGTGATGTCCATTCCACAACCCATAGAATAGGTGATGTCCATTCCACAACCCATAGAATAGGTGAATGACCTTGCACAGTTGTGTCTTCTTTTTACAGATGAAATGTAAATATTAAAAATTGAAATTAAGCCTGTTCTTGTGTCTTTTAGATTTATGCATTTGGTTTTCTGAACTAGAGGGAGGGTCTAATACACCAAAATAAACCACACAATATTGAATTGCACAGTCCAAAGACAAAACCTTTATTTTCCAAAAATGGTCAGGTGTATTAAAACACATACTTATGCTGACATATAGATTGTGAAGAGAAAACCAACAACAGATGATTTCTTAATACAATAAAAAATATATACAGCTATACAAAAAGATAAAGTTACATAAATATATACAGCTATATAAAAAGATAAAGTTACATAAATATATAAAGCTATATAAAAAGATAAAGTTACATAACTGTATACCTCATCAGGAGGACACCTGTTGATTTTCTCTTGTGTGTCTTGTAATGATTCTACAAACTCTTTCATATTGTCTCTCAGGTTACATCTCTGAAATTATATGTATGTAATTCTTTATATCTGGTAAAATCATATAAGAACTAGATGTGGAGTCAATAAAACATGGATGCCCCATCCTCTACAAAAATTAATTTGAAATACCCTTGAGTAGGATATAACAAACAAAAACACAGACAATATGTCTGTAATTACCTTTCATAACTGTGTGCTGCTATTAGTAGGGTGCCCAATGTCCAAAAAGTCCTCTAGTTAACGAGTTTAAGTTAACGGATAACACACAGCTGATTTTTTGGCACATTATAGGAAAATCATTATATTTTGCAATCATGATTGTCGTCGTAAGTTCCCGTGGTCACGATTTTCTAAATTTCGTGTTTTTACAGGGTACCACCAGATACTGTATTGTACGGGGAATCTTTAACATGACAAATAAAATTATTGCATTCTTTTTTGGTAGTTAAAACAGTACCTATAATATAGTTTATATATTAAATATATCGTATAACGAAATCGGAAAGTATTTAAATGATTTTGATATAAGTATTTCAGCATTTTAGTAAGAGTAAAATTTTACTCGAAATTTACCCTATTTTCATCGAAAGCAAAATTATTACGTGTATCATCACAATATTTTTTACTCTGATTTAAGCAATAAGACACAGTGCATGTGTGTGCCAAATTGCATGCGTGAAATAAAAACGTTTTGAAGAAATTAGCAATTAAAAACACAAATTAAGTCAACATTTTGGTATTGATTAAACATGGATTATCTCGTGCCATTAATCATTTTGTTGCTTACACTATTAGGTCATTAACAAGGACAGAGGTCACCCAAAACATCTGTCTTTTTTGCTTGTTGCATGGTTGATTTATTTGTTGTGAATAGCTAGCTAACTTTGTAGATTGTCACTTTGTTCGGAGAAATCTGTTTTGTGTCTGATTTTCAAAACTTTAAACTTTTTATTAAATAAATATTTTGTTATAATTGTAGTATAAGAATCAAATCGGTCAGTTTTGTTTCACACCCTGTATGATGTTTTCGACCTAAATCCCTCTCGGTGGGAACGACAAGAAAAATATACCACCGTTCGTGCAACAACAAAAAAACAGATACAACAGACAGCAAACAACGACAACCACTTAATTGCAGGCTCCTGATTTTGGACAGACATATACAGAATTTGGAGGGGGTTAAACATGTTTGTGATCCTTCAACCCTCACCTGACCTGGATAATGGTATAACAACACAGCGTAAGAAAAATCTGCTGAAAAACAGTTTGAAATGGCTTGACTTATCAAATCGGCATGAAGCACAAAAACAACTAACATGAACAAAAAAAACACAAAGTACCGATATAATAGTACTCTCCGTTAGGGTAGAATATTTTACTTTTGTAAACATTCATATCCTCAACTGTCTTGCATTTCATGTTGAAGAGTGTTCATTCTCATCCTGTCTTGTGCAAAGTCAATTATTTCAGTTCATACCAGGCCAAGTAATTCATTTTCAAAATCCTCATTCCCTCCCTGTTTTCGAAATCAAATTGGTGTTCCCTTACTGAAAACTAATAAAAGGACGTCATCAATAGTCTGAGAAATGTATGATCATAAACATCATTACCGTAAAAACTAGCTTTTATTATAAATCAGGTCGTTAGTTTTTTTTCAAATGAATTCTTTCATTTTTTTCATAACTGACCTTTTTATAGCCGACCATAAGGTATTAGTTTTTCACATTGTCGAAGGCCGTAAGGTTGCCTTTAATTGCTTGCTTCCACATCTCTTAATTTTTATATTATACAACAAGTATTACATAAAATTAACACTATCAATATTCCATGTAAATGCGGTAAGGTCAGATGAACTCTGCCACAAAATCATTTACACCTTGTTACCATTCCATACACCAAATATATTTAACCCACTACTATCTGAGACTGTACGGACTTGACCACTGAAACTTAACCTTATTCACTGATCCGTGAAATTATGTCGAGGTCAGGTGAATCATGTCTGACGGTCATGTAGACCTTGCAAGGATACCATATATTAGTAACCAAATATAGTTATCCTAGAACTCATGATAATTGAGACATTCACATGACGAAAAAAGCTATACAGTTTTTTAGCAGTCACTTAACCATGAATATGAGGTCAAGGATAATGATTATATGAAAGAAACTTCGTGACACAATGGATCTATATACAAAGTATGAATCATCCAGTTCCTCTGCCCTCTGAAATATAAAGCTATACAAATAGTTTACGGTGTTGCCGCCATCACCATCAGATTGTATTCTGTATGCCTCGCATTCTGCTACTTGCGTCGAATGCGATTTAAAAAAGAACAACTGAAATAAGCTCTCTTACCTAAACCTAGTCGGTGGGCTTTCAACTTAACAGTAGACAATGAAACGTAATAGCTACTAATAGCTTCGGCAATTTTTCTATGTTGTTTCGCTCTTATTAAAATTCTGATCTTTATTAACTCGTGTGCTCTTATATATAAGCTCAAATGAGGATAACGAAATCAAAGATCTATAATTTAATTAGATTGATGTTGTTTACAAGTGTTTGTAAAATACATCGATGCTGTACAAAACTTTCTTTTTGTAGATAATCTTTAACTTCATGTCAGTTGTAGGCCAATTTATGTTCGATAAGTCATGTACATTACACTTGATATAAGTGTGTAAGATGGAGTGATTAGCCTGCTGTTTCTAATTCTCATTTTGTTTTCATAACTTAAACATAAACCCTCCCCGTTTTTCACCGTTTGCATTTTTTTTCTTTTCTGTAAAGCAAATATATACTCAGACCTGCTAATTCAATCAATTCTGCATTAATATTCATCAGTTTTGGAACTAATTACTATTTGATGTGCTTCCACGTTTACCAAAAGAAAATTGGATATTTACCCAGAAAATCATGACAAACACCTTCTATCAAAAGACATAAAAAATTACATTTTGGGAGGGCAACTTATAAATGTTAATATCTAAAAAACATCTCGAAAGATCACTTGTATCAAATCTTATGTAAAAATTCCGATTTTGGAACTTTTAAAAGGTCAAGGTCATTGTTATTTAACAGCTGAATGAAAATTGTAAATGTGCACCCTATAAGTACAAATGTCAATCTCGAACCATATTTGGCAATAAAATTATCAAATTAGTCCTAAATATAGAAACTATAGTTATAATCCTTTGAATTATTCGAATTTATTTTGCTATAAACGCAAATATGTAGGGGTGGCCAGCTGTCTAAACATGACTCTACGTTTTCCTTGAAATTTTAGATTTGACCTTTGACCCAAATTTAAGAAAATCGTGACCACTGCAGACAACGACGACATCAATATTTCGACGAGGCTTGTTCTCCTCTTTCCAATGATATAAAATATAGCCGTGTGTTATTCCGTTAACCCAAATCGATCAAATTTGTTGACTGGGCACCCCACTTTATGTGATACATCATAACTAAGCCATCTAATATCTCCATCAAACTATGTGTCTGTAATTACCTTTCCTAACTGTTTGTGTGCTGTTATGTGATACATCATAACTAAGCCATCTAATAACTCCATCAAACTATATGTCTGTAATTACCTTTCCTAACTGTTTGTGTGCTGCTATGTGATACATCATAACTAAGCCATCTAATAACTCCATTAAACTGTTACCACTTGGCATCTCTAAAGCAGGGTAATCATCTACAATAAATTTCAATTCTACATATATATTTTCCAATATCTTATGAAGTTGAAAACAAAATGTTAACATGTAAATGCTACATAATTCTATATGACCCACATCAAATTATTTTTAAAGGAAGGACTTGAAAAACTCAGGGAAATTGTTTTGTATACTTTATTTCATATACTATTTTAACTTTACTAAAGAGTTAAAGTATTCATGTTTATTCTTTTAAAATACAAGTAACAATCAAAGTGCTTGTGAGCACTGAAGTGTAAAGATTGCTTTCATTTTTGCAATTTTGTGTAAATTTTTAAATAAAACATTGAATTGTATTTTGCTAGGAAAGTTAAAAATTTGAGTTGGATTTATCTTCCTTTGTTTATGATTGTGCATTTGTAGTTGAACCTATATTCATAACAGATTCATACACCATGCATTACTTATGTAATTTTAATAAAAAAATGTTTTCTTGACAAGTATGGTAATTCAAATACACATCATATTGTAACTTAAATATCAAAGAATAACATATTATCAATAAATTGCATGATATTGACTAGAAAGGATCTAAATAATGATTACTTTCACTGCACTATTTTGTTTGAACTATCAAAGGTAGTGATAAACCTTGGAAGGTATAGATATCAAGTCAGTACCATAAGGTTTTTGATTGCATTTCATGCAATCTTTACCCAAAAAACCTGCATTGTATAAAAACAATGCCAGTTTACAGTTCAATGTCAATGGTACAAATAGGATTGTCATGAAACCTCACTAGCAGCTCACTTGGGTGTGCATCACTAGCCTGACATTCCTATTCCAATTAAAATTCCAGGGTCCTATTTTATTTGCCTACTGACAGAATGGTTGGAATATAATGTCTTAAACCGATGTTCAACCTACCTGATTGTTTGGAGACAGCAGAGGACATTAGAGACAATTTTTGTTCTGAAACAGCTGCAGAAAGACCTGGTGCTTTATTTAACTAACTTCAACCTACCCGCTTGTTTGGAGACAGCAGAGGACATTAGAGACAATTTTTGTTCTGAAACAGCTGAAAAAAGACCTGGTTCTTTATTTACTTAACTTCAACCTACCTGATTGTTTGGAGACAGCAGAGGACATTTGAGACAATTTTTGTTTTGAAACAGCTGAAGAAAGACCTGGTGATATATTTACTTCACTTCAACCTACCTGATCGTTCGGCGACAGCAGAGGACATTTGAGACAATGTTTGTTCTGAACCAGCAGCAGAAAGACCTTGTGCTTTATTTACTTCCCTCACTAACACATACCTGATCGTTTGGAGACAGCAGAGGACATTAGAGACAATGTTTGTTCTGAACCAGCAGCAGAAAGACCTTGTGCTTTATTCACTTCACTCCCTAACATTCTGTTTACATGAGAAATCAAACCACCACATCGCTGAAACTCAAAGTAATCAATGGTTTCTGACCAAAACTGGTGAATTGGTATATAAGCATCTGAAATAAACAAACTTAAAAATCTGACTTCTAAATTTAATCATAATTATCTTAAATTTTAGAGTAGAAAATGTAAAGCTTGCATTCCTTGAGGCAAATATGTTTTCAAAGCTTAGCCAAAAGACAGGGTAACTGTTAAGATTTTAACAAGTAATTCTATGGAAGAAAAACTATTTCAAACTTTTTACTGAAGAAACTTACTCTGTTACTGATAAAAAAAAAAAGGTGAATACATAGCACAGCTACTCTTGACAATGTGACAAGTAGTTTTGACTTTTCTTTTTGGAAGACTTTAAACATCATATTTATTTTAATAAGTCATGTTCCATGCTGATAAAATACCTGAAGTTTTAACAAATCTGCAAGGATCTTCTTCTTGAAATTTATCCCAGCAAAATCTCACTGCCTGTATGAGTCTATGGAACATACATAGTATGACTGAACTTGGACATAAACTCCCATGCTGGATCTGATATACAAGTAAGTCAAATAATGTATATATATATATAAATCCTTTGAATAAACATATATTTTTATTTGGTCTAAGATCCATATAAAGTTATTGATCAGTTGAATACTTATTTTCAAAGGATATCACTTTAACACCATAGTAATGTGATTTGTATGGTTACATTAACCTTTTGTTTTTGATAAATTAAAACATAACAAAACATGTATTGCTTTTCATTTATGAAAACTTATGATCCTACATCCTATCAATGTTAAGGACATATATTTTGCCATGTTTATGACTTTTTTACACTAAATTTGTTGGATGTGTACTGGTTGACACTGAAGTCTCTGAGAGCATAACTTATTCATTAGTGTGGTTAGTTTTAATTGGCTTGGAACTATCTTTCAGTAAGTGAACTTACTCTTAAATAGGTACTTTTTGTCTTTCGCCTTATGTTAATTGTTGTTTGTGCCTATGCTTATCTATTAAGTCTAGCCATTTCTAACTGATGTTCTACTGTTGTTTGTGCCTATGCTTATCTATTAAGTCTAGTCATTTCTAACTGATGTTCTACATTTTGTTCTTCTGTTGTGCTGTTACACCACTGTCCCAGGTTAGGGGAGGGTTGATTGCTCACAAACATGTTTAACCCCACTACATTATGTATGTGTCTGTACTAACTCAGGAGCCTGTAATTCAATGGTTGTCAATGGTTACTGTCTGTCATGTCTGTATTCATTTATTGTTTTGTCATAAATCAGGCTGTTGATTTCATCGTTTGAATTGTTCCACATTTTGTTACATCTGGGCCTTTATTGACTGACTATACTGTATGGGTTTTGCTCATTGTTGAAGGCGGTGACCTTTAATAACTTAAATCCAGGTGGGTTGGACTCTGGTGTGGATAGTTGTCTCATTGGCAATCATATCACATCTTATTCATATATGAAGAACGATCCTAGTTAAAAAGCAGATCTTCAAATCAAGTAATAAAGTAAACTATCATGTAAGATTTTAGCCCTAGATGTATAAAAAACTATTCATTACAATACCTATTCATTGTGTAGTAAATATTACTATGGTTCAATATTTACCCTTCCTAGTCCACTGTTTTCTTTGAAAAACTTCCTGCACTTTTCCATAAATATAATTCTTGTGGTTTTTTGCTACAATTAGATAATCCTTATTTTTATTAAATGTATAGTATATCTAAAATGATTTGAAAAACATGAATAATTGGACAAGATTTTGCATTTAAAGAAGGAAAATGGGTTTTCTATTGTAAAAAATCTCTGAACTCTGAATAACCTCAAGCATTTTCACCACAGTCATGTTTACAAATTGTGCTAGTCTAAATTAGGCATTGTTCTGTTGTATGTGTTGGCATACCAATTCATAAACAGTTGTTTAAGAATGAAAAAAGGTCTGTATTAATAGCAGAAAAAAGAGGCGGAAGATACGAAGGGGACATTCAAAATAGGTCAAAGAAAAACTGACAACACCATGGCAAAAAACGTAAATGCTGAAGTCAATAAAAAACATGGAAAACTACAGACTAAACAACAGGAATACCACTAAAAACTGGAAGTGAACTCATGACTTCCTGAAGGGAAACAGTTTTTCCTAAGCAAATATGAATATCAGTACTTACACAGAGGATAACAAGTAGAAATCATTGGCAAGTAGAAAGTCTGTAAATAAATTAAGGATCAATTTTTGGGGCCCTTTATAGCTTGCTGTTCGGTGTGAGCCAAGGCTCCGTGTTGAAGACCGTACTTTGACCTATAATGGTTTACTTTTATAAATTTTGACTTGGATGGAGAGTTGTCTCATTGGCACTCATACCACATCTTCTTATATCTATTGACTATATTAAGATTGACCTTTAACCTTACTTACCTCTACCACATCTGTGTGGATCATCAACTTTTTCAATACCTCGACCTGAATCTTCTCAACATCTGAACAGAAAGGTCAAAATTTACAAATATCTAGTTAAAAAATTTCCTATGCTACAATTAAACTATTTAAATTAATTCATTTGAAAATTAAATTCTTTGTCTTTTATAAAAACAATCCTCTTAAACAATTTTGCATAACTATATATAGAGAGATTTGCATAAAATTAGCTAAAATAGATTTGCTTAAAATAAGCTAAAAATCTTAAAATATGAAAAGACATGCAAAGAGTGTCATTTCTCACAGAGTAATGCTTTGTTTTATTTCAAAACTGTAAAGCTCGAAATAATACTATCACTTTTTTGGTATTCGTTTAAGCTTCACAATAGGGATGCCGATTTTTCTCTTGAAAGGAAAATGCAAATTTTAACAAGAATGCATGCATTGTCTTGCTAAGCATATTCCATTTGTAATTCAAAGTATTGGAAAACAGAAGTATGTTTTTGACAGATCCCAAAAGTGCACACAAATTACAACTCATTTTTGAGCTCCTGACCAAATATGAAATCATTCTGTTCAGTAGCACTGGAGAAAAATGTGAAGGAAAATTTTGAAGTTCATTCAACATATTGAAAAAATTCAAAATATCTTCAAACAGGAAGTAGGTATTTAACAGTTCTGAAAAGTGCTCACACTTTATATCTCATGTCAAGCTGCTGACCAACTATGAAGTCATTCTATTAAGTAGTTTGTGAGAAAAATGTGCAAAAATATTTGTTGGACTAAGGGACAGATGAATGGCCTGACACACAAGATGATTGCAACATAGACCACACATTTCGAGTGTAAGTATATTTTTTAAATATAAGACTGAAGTATTTCTAATGAAGTTTGATAAATTATAACCATTATATAACTAGAAACCTGTAGACATCCTTAATGCAAAGGATGTCATTATCTTTTCTGTGGACTATGGTGGTTCTTACCAGTTTTTAGGTGGAACTTTTTATGAATCCTATGAATACCTTATAAAACATTCCTTATTTTCAGTGGTTATAATACATAGTTTAAAAAGGCAAAATTATCTGGTATTATTAATGAAAGACCTGCTTCCACTGTAAATTCAAGACTGAATTACAGAAGAATGATGTGAACAATGATAAAATTTTGCATAAAATAAAATAAAAAGGCTACCAATTTATCTCTTTTATTTTTTTAGAGGTGCAAATTTGTATAGATTGCACAAAAAATCTGGGTAAAATATTCATAAAACTGTCTCAAATTCATTATCTAACACTAATCTGTAAATATCTAATGAAAATTAAATGTTGTTGTCTGATAATTTTTCATTTAATTGATTAGAAATCGTCATACATGTATGATCACCAATTTTGTTTTTGATGTGTTTAACAGACTTTAACTGTGTTAGTAGTGAACATAAACATTTTACACTTTCACAGCTTCCAACCTTTACATTATTTTTGATTTTTTGGGGGTATTTTTTCCCCAATAATTCCACTTTGAGTGATGAATACACAAAAAAAACTAATTCTATGACCCTTTGATTACTTTACATCATTCAAAAAGAAATTAATCTGCCAAAAAACTGTCTTTTATTAGGAAGATGGTGATGATGGATGGCTGCTTAACGTCCAGCGGCAAATTAATATGCATATTCAGGACGAGAACATGTTAATGTAATATGAATATTAACCCTGCATTGTACAAGATCGACACACTGAGCTGGATTTTAAACGTGCTAGTTCACAAGGTAACAGTCTGCAGGAAGACATGTCACCTTACCCAGACACATAATTCTGACTACGAGCCGACCAGTCTTTGCTTTTACTCCTTAATGCCATATGCTTAGCGGAGAAGCAGCAAATACCGATTTTAAAGTCTTTGGTTTGACCGAGCCAGGGTTCGAACCCACTACCTCCCACATTCGAGGCAAACATGCTATCACAAGACCACTGAGACGGTTCCTCCTTTATTAGGAATGAGGACTTATAAACTTATACTTAATGAAGGAAATATAAAACCAGTTTTATTTCTGTAGAAATGTACGTCTATTTATGGGAAAACATTCCATCATATATCAGCAAATAAGAGTTACTGTAATTTATAAAACTTTTTTTAATTTTCAGTTAGTGATCAACATTTCCAAGTTATATACAAAATATTATAAAAATCTGTGACATGGTCAATTTACTTTTTAAAAAAGAAGCTTGGACAAAAAAATGTGTTCTGAAATGTTTCTGACCTTGAACAGCATTCTGTAGCTGGTCACATGACATCAAGTATTTCTGTTTATTCATGTCATTCTCTTCCTTTATACTTTTATCTACATCTTTTTCCTAAATATAACAACATAGAAATAAATGATAGAGAGAAGATACCTTGGGGGCAATTGTAAATCATCAGTCCAATAAAAACACACAACACCATTACCAAAAATAAGAACAAAAAGACAAACAACAATAACAAAACTTTACACACAAAACTTAAGATTGAGCTACACAAACCACAACAAACAATTTCAAATAATTTAATGCCAACTCTGTTTAGTGTTTGTTTCGATTTTTTCTGTTCATGCATATATTAATATTGATTATTATCATTTTCGTTTTGATATTATACCATATTCTCTTTGATATTATACCATATTCTAAGAGTTATGATATTATACCATATTCTAAGAGTTGATATTATACCATATTCTAAGAGTTGATATTATACCATACTCTAAGAGTTGATATTATACCATATTCTAAGAGTTGATATTATACCATACTCTAAGAGTTGATATTATACCATACTCTAAGAGTTGATATTATACCATATTCTAAGAGTTGATATTATACCATCTCTAAGAGTTGATATTATACCATATTCTAAGAGTTGATATTATACCATATTCTAAGAGTTGATATTATACCATACTCTGAGAGTTGACATTATACCATACTCTAAGAGTTGACATTATACCATATTCTAAGAGTTGACATAATACCATATTCTAAGAGTTGATATTATACCATACTCTAAGAGTTGACATTATACCATATTCTAAGAGTTGACATTATACCATACTCTAAGAGTTGACATTATACCATATTCTAAGAGTTGATATTATACCATAACCATACTCTAAGAGTTGACATTATACCATATTCTAAAAGTTGACATTATACCATATTCTAAGAGTTGACATTATACCATATTCTAATTGACATTATACCATACTCTAAGAGTTGACATTATACCATATTCTAAGAGTTGATATTATACCATATTCTAAGAGATATTCTAAGAGTTGACATTATACCATATTCTAAGAGTTGACATTATACCATATTCTAAGAGTTGACATAAGAGTTGACATTATACCATATTCTAAGAGTTGATATTATACCATATTCTAAGAGTTGACATTATACCATATTCTAAGAGTTGATATTATACCATATTCTAAGAGATATTCTAAGAGTTGATATTACACCATATTCTAAGAGATATTCTAAGAGTTGATATTATACCATATTCTAAGAGTTGACATTATACCATATTCTAAGAGTTGATATTATACCATATTCTAAGAGTTGACATTATACCATATTCTAAGAGTTGATATTATACCATATTCTAAGAGTTGACATTATACCATATTCTAAGAGTTGATATTATACCATATTCTAAGAGTTGACATTATACCATACTCTAAGAGTTATGAGGTTTTCCTGTACTGATTTTTATTCTATGTATTTTGTGTACCTTTTAAAAGTTCATATCATGGATGAAAAAGTATGTGTTTTTTATGGAGATGTATTACATGTGGTAAACCAACATAAAACATGCATAAAACGTAAATATTGCAGATAATTCATTTCATTAAAATAGCACCATACAAGAGAAAAATTTAATTGGATATCTATTTTACATCGATTAAATATGTTTTTTTGTCACCAACTTTTTCATCCATAAAATGTAAGTTCTAATAGTCTATTTTCATATTACCGACTTTTGACTTCGGATTATATAATTTGTCACCTGGTTACCTTGGACATCATGGTACTTGGTCAAGTAAGAGCAACCAAAATAAGTAAAATCAAACATATAATCGGTGTAATTTGAGGGGAAAGTTTACTGTTTTCCGATGATTTTGTAGTGAAAAAAAAATATTAACCAGGTAATTTTCCCCCAAAATTGTACCAATTGAAAGCTTGGTTTTACTTCTTTAGCTTGCTCTTACCTGACTTGGTACCATGATGTCCAAGGTAACCAGTCGACAAATTATATAATCCGGAGTCAAAAGTCGGTAATATGAAAATAGTCTATTTACATTGAGCATATGTTTTTTATCCGTAAAATGTCTCATTTTATATACTACACCTCTGCTTTATTGATTTTTGGAACGAACATCAGTAAATAAATTTCTGTACTATTTTTCCAGTGTAAGCATTTTTTTACTTCCTTTTTACTTGTAAAATCAGAAAAAAATAAAAAGAATCACTCAATCATCCATCTCCATTCCAAAGAAGAACACCATTTAAAAATCAACAAAAATGGTGTGGTTGTTCACTGAGAAGCCGAAAAAGTTGTTTGTACAAACCTACAGCCTATCCTCTAATCATTACAACATGACTGGTACAAACTCTACCAAATATTTATCATCTGCTTGCCTGTTACTTATCAATTCAAACCATATTACTGGTACAAACTCTACCAAATATTTATCATCTGGTTGCCTGTTACTTACCAATTCAAACCATATGACTGGTACAAACTCTACCAAATGTTTATCAATCTGGTTGCCTGTTACTTACCAATTCAAACCATATGACTGGTACAAACTCTACCAAATGTTTATCATCTGGTTGCCTGTTACTTACCAATTCAAACCATATGACTGGTACAAACTCTGACAACTGTTTATCAATCTGGTTGCCTGTTACTTACCAATTCAAACCATATGACTGGTACAAACTCTGACAACTGTTTATCATCTGGCGATTTAATATGCATAAACATGGCAAATTTGATTTTATCAAATCTTACTTGTGTTAAGGAAACTTTAATTCAATTTCAAGTGGCTTCCTAAATTTTAGAAGAAATAATAAAAGAAGCAGTAGTAAAGCGCTCTTCCTCCACAATAATGTAAGTGTAAAAAGATATCAGTTATTTCTATTAAAGCGTATCTATTCCTAGAAAGCCAGTAAATTATATTGGTGAAAACATTTCTCAGATGTGTCAACATCATGATTTTTAACAAGGTAATTTTTCTAGTTACATTATAATTTTGAGTATATTTTGCACTTAAGAACCGTCTAAACTGTAAATTCCAAATTATCCTGTAATGCTCACCTGGCATCTCTAGCCATGTCTCTGACTAAATAAAAAGAAAGTTGAACTGTAATCTTTGTTGAAAATTTGAAATTTTTGCATTTTAATATTTGTTTTTCTTTCTTTGTTATTTCAATTTCTTATTTATAATGAGAGTAGACAAGATTATTTGGATAAACTTTGAACTTAGACCATTTCTACATAGCTTGGATCAAACCAAGAAAGCAAGCGTTGTCGTGCAAAGCATAACTCCACTAGTAATTCAAAGTATAGACAAACAGGAGGAAGGCTTCTGACAGATAAAAAAACTCACATGTTACAACTCATAACTGTCTAGCTGTTGACCAAATAAGATCAAATGAAGTTATTCTGTACAGTAGTACTTGCGAATAGTGTGACAAAAAAATTTAAGTTCATTAAACAATAAGAAAAATTCAAATAATAAAAAATGTATCTGCAAACAGAAAGAAGCCTTTAAGAAGGAGTCTGACAGATCTGAAAAGTGCTCACATATTACAACTAATCACTGTTCAGCTGCCAGGCAAAAATAAAGTCATTCTGTTCATAAGTACCTGAGCAAAAGAATTATTTGTTGGATGAACAGACTCAGAGAGAGAGACAAGGTCAATGCAATATACACATGTAGCCCCCAAACACTAGATGTATGATAATATAATGCAGAAGAGAATACCAATTCTTTGCTAGAATATTATTACTGTGTCATAACAAAAAAGGATACAATACATTACTTAATAAATATCTTCTTGTTTGTTGATGATGAAGAATAGATAACAGCAAGTTTAAATAATCTTTCTGAAAAAAAATGACAAAACTATTATGAAACCATTACTGTAGTAATTTAACCATTTTTAAAACGTTTCAGGTGCACAACCTCAATATGTTTCTGGGATCTTGGTTGAAAACTGTCAAAAAAGTTGATTACACACAATTAGTACCGTCTTTTGTAAATTTTACTGAAAAATGACTACCAGTAGTTCCCAAATCTTGAAAAATAGGAAAAATTCCTCAAACAATTATCAATTAGCAGGTGCACACCTTTAATACATATGCAACCATAGTTGCCAACTGACATGATATTCGCGTGTAATACACGCTTTTTCGACGGTTTACACGCGAGGATTTTATCACATGGTGTGTACACGCTTTTCACCACTTTACACGCAATTACACGCTTTTTCGTTGTTTTGATTTTTTTGTTGTTAGTGATATCGCGATTCTCGGGTTTTTTCATTATAACACGATAAATACCGAAATTTCGAAGTAATTGTTTGGTGGCCATTGTTTATTTTTCTATATATGGACGAATAGCAAAAGCTCTTAAGGTAAGTAGTTTGTGATTAGTTTTTACGATTTTGGGACTTTCTTTCTTTCAAATTCACTTAGGGGAAATTTCCACAGAAAGAGGTAGCTTTCAGGACCTTAACCGTCGTCTAAAGAGCCGATTTCTAAGCGAAAACGATGTGTACGTACCAAGATTCAAGATTTATAAATTATATTTGGGAGTTCGAGTTTAAATCATCGAGGGACGAGTAACGCATTGTGCACTCTATGTTGCAATCATAACAATACATATGAGAGGAGAACTAAAATACATAGCTATTTAATTAAGCATTTAACAACTATAAAATATTTTTCTTTTTCAGTTTCAAATGTAGCCAACAGATTTCCACAGGCCATAGGGGATGGAAATATCACGGAACTGTTGGATCAGTTCTCATAGTATTAGCTGTCTTCTGATGAACTACCCAGTTTTGACCAGACAATAGCAACATATATTGTATAGTTTGTTGGGAGCAATTGCAGAGATCATAGATGACATTTTAGATGGCAAAAAAACATTATGACACTCTTTCAAAGCTTCATGAAGCTATTTTAGTTAAGCCAAATATCAATTCTGACTGTGAGAGATCATTTTCAATTATAAAGAAATTTACACTGAATTCTGATCAGAACTCGACAATGATATATTGTGTGCCTTGTTATCAAGTAAATGTAACCAAACCAGCAGGTGTTTGGCTATGTGCCTAGTGGTGTTGCTTTAAAAGCAGCAAAACAGACCACTGTTGAATACAATAAAAGTTTACAGATGAATATTGTTTTTTATATTAACAAATTTGCATATAATGTGAAATTATATGAACATTGTTCATATTAAAAAGTCCGCATCTACGTCACGCGTTTCACACGCTTTTTGACATGTCATGTCATGTTATGACATGATTTCTCATTGTCAGAGGTTGGCAAGTATGTATGCAACCTTTCTGTGAAGTTTCAAGGATCTGAGTTGTAAACTGTAGGAATATAGTACTCAAAATAGGTACACATTTTCCTCACCGCCTACTGCCTAACTTCCTGACATTACAATACTGTAAGCTGATTTTGCACTTGGTGCAACATAGCTAATAACCTTTGTTACTGTGTATATATCAATACCTATTTCACTAAAAAGAAACATTCCAATTTTTGCATAATATGGTGTCAGTGCCTTTCCAATTTTCCCTTACCAATTAAACAAACATAAAATAATTCTTTCCCTAGACTTAAGTATGTTTCACCATCTCAATGTGATTTCTGAACAGTATCATATTACTTTCAATTTTAGGTTTTCAACTGTTTTCTCTTTACTTAATTTACCAAGAATATTTGATTTTTTTAAAATGAATGCCATATCAACTGATAAAAGATTTATTATCATTCAAATGATTACAGATATATGAGTATGCTTTATTTTAACAGATCGATGTTTGGCCTAAAACTTACATGATATTTGAAGTCTGGTAAAGCTGGAGAAAATCTATACAGGGAAAGAAGTGAAACTGAAAGACTTTCCATACATCCCTTTATTTCAAAATCCTGTAATAAAATAATTGCAATTAAACAATAAAACAAAATTGAAGTCATCTGCTTATTTGATTAATACTATGTTATGTTGAAAGACTATCATATCAAGGTAAATACAAATGTATCAAACTAAAATTGGTGTATTTCATTTATGAAAAAAAGATTAGAAATATTAGTTTAAACAAATGATAAAATTTAGATATAACCAGATGCTTCAAATAACCAGACGACTCAAATAACCAGACGACTCAAATAACCAGAAGACTCAAATAACCAGACGACTCAAATAACCAGACGACTCAAATAACCAGATGACTCAAATAACCAGAAGACTCAAATAACCAGATGACTCAAATAACCAGACGACTCAAATAACTAGATGACTCAAATAACCAGAAGACTCAAATACCCAGACAACTCAAATAACCAGAAGACTCAAATAACCAGACGACTCAAATAACCAGACGACTCAAATAACCAGACGACTCAAATAACCAGATGACTCAAATAACCAGACGACTCAAATAACTAGATGACTCAAATAACCAGACGACTCACATAACCAGATGACTCAAATAACCAGACGACTCACATAACCAGATGACTCAAATAACCAGACGACTCAAATCACCAGACAACTCAAATCACCAGACGACTCAAATAACCATAAGACTCAAATAACCAGACAACTCAAATAACCAGACCACTCAAATAACCAGAAGACTCAAATAACCAGACAACTCAAATAACCAGACGACTCAAATAACCAGACGACTCAAATAAAATAACCAGAAGACTCAAATAACCAGAAGACTCAAATAACCAGAAGACTCAAATAACCAGACGACTCAAATAACCAGGCGAGCCTCAAATAACCAGACGACTCAAATAACCAGAAGACTCAAATAACCAGACAACTCAAATAACCAGAAGACTCAAATAACCAGACGACTCAAATAACCAGACAACTCAAATAAAATAACCAGAAGACTCAAATAACCAGACGACTCAAATAACCAAAAGACTCAAATAACCCTATGAATCAAATAACCAGACGACTCAAATAACCAGATGACTCAAATAACCAGACAACTCAAATAACCAGACGACTCAAATAAAATAACCAGAAGACTCAAATAACCAGAAGACTCAAATAACCAGACAACTCAAATAACCAGACGACTCAAATAACCAGAAGACTCAAATAACCAGACGACTCAAATAACCAGACGACTCAAATAACCAGACGACTCAAATAACCAGAAGACTCAAATAACCAGACAACTCAAATAACCAGACGACTCAAATAAAATAACCAGAAGACTCAAATAACCAGACGACTCAAATAACCCTATGAATCAAATAACCAGAAGACTCAAATAACAAGACAACTCAAATAACAAGACGACTCAAATAACCAGAAGACTCAAATAACCAGACGACTCAAATAACCAGACGACTCAAATAAAATAACCAGAAGACTCAAATAACCAGAAGACTCAAATAACTTGAAGACTCAAATAACCAGAAGACTCAAATAACCAGATGACTCAAATAACCAGAAGACTCAAATAACCAGAAGACATCTAGAGGTCAACATACAGTCTAGTGTATGTACACTATGTCAAGCTATACATTAAACAAAATATATCAAAGATCTGCCATTTATTGTATGTATTCTCCAATAACAAAACAAACATTGATACATTCATGACAAAAGACAAGCACAGAAGAGGTTCCAGGCTTGAGACATCCACATGAATATTCATTTTTTAAAGATTCTACATGAATTAACTAAGTACAAAGCCTTCTTCATGTAATAAATGTCATATTGTAATTAAATATTCAATTTCTTTATGTAAATATTTAAAATGATTTTTTATTTTTTTTATTCAAACAGGGATATATGAATTTGCATATCTTTAAAATTTTATTTATATTTCAAACAAAGACCCACAGATTAATGTATCCCACAAAATTTCTTGTTTTCTCTATCCCTAAAAATTGATTTCTTTGAATTCAAATAAATTCACAGTAATCAGAAATACATGTATTACATCATTTTATCAAGGTATCCTTTTCTCATCATCTTATTATTCCAAATACAAAATATATCAATTACTTTAGGTTGTAGATCACCAGAATATTTTAAATTGAGGAACTTAATTGTTGTTTTGTTGTTTATGAGGATTTATATAAAAACAATACTGATACAAACCTGCATTAATGACCACATTAGATCAAACATATTACATATTAGTGACTGTTCCTCTATATAAAACAATACTGAAACAAACCTGCATTAATGACCACATTAGATCAAACATGTTACATATTAGTGACTGTTCCTCTATATAAAACAATACTGAAACAAACCTGCATTAATGACCACATTAGATCAAACATGTTACATATTAGTGACTGTTCCTCTATATAAATCAATACTGTTACAAACCTGCATTAATGACCACATTAGATCAAACATGTTACATATTAGTGACTGTTCCTCTATATAAAACAATACTGATACAAACCTGCATTAATGACCACATTAGATCAAACATGTTAACATATTAGTGACTGTTCCTCTATATAAATCAATACTGTTACAAACCTGCATTAATGACCACATTAGATCAAACAAGTTACATATTAGTGACTGTTTCTCTATACAAAACAATACTGTTACAAACCTGCATTAATGACCACATTAGATCAAACATATTACATATTAGTGACTGTTCCTCTATATAAATCAATACTGTTACAAACCTGCATTAATGACCACATTAGATCAAACATGTTACATATTAGTGACTGTTTCTCTATACAAAACAATACTGTTACAAACCTGCATTAATGACCACATTAGATCAAACATATTACATATTAGTGACTGTTCCTCTATACAAAACAATACTGTTACAAACCTGCATTAATGACCACATTAGATCAAACATGTTACATATTAGTGACTGTTCCTCTATATAAAACAATACTGTTACAAACCTGCATTAATGACCACATTAGATCAAACATATTACATATTAGTGACTGTTCCTCTCTATAAAACAATACTGAAACAAACCTGCATTAATGACCACATTAGATCAAACATGTTACATATTAGTGACTGTTCCTCTATATAAAACAATACTGACACAAACCTGCATTAATGACCACATTAGATCAAACATGTTACATATTAGTGACTGTTCCTCTATATAAAACAATACTGTTACAAACCTGCATTAATGACCACATTAGATCAAACATGTTACATATTAGTGACTGTTCCTCTATATAAAACAATACTGAGACAAACCTGCATTAATGACCACATTAGATCAAACATGTTTCATATTAGTGACTGTTCCTCTATATAAAACAATACTGTTGCAAACCTGCATTAATGACCACATTAGAGCAAACATATTATATATTAGTGACTGTTCCTCTCTATAAAACAATACTGAGACAAACCTGCATTAATGACCACATTAGATCAAACATGTTACATATTAGTGACTGTTCCTCTATATAAATCAATACTGTTACAAACCTGCATTAATGACCACATTAGATCAAACATGTTAACATATTAGTGACTGTTCCTCTATATAAAACAATACTGATACAAACCTGCATTAATGACCACATTAGATCAAACATGTTAACATATTAGTGACTCTTCCTCTATATAAAACAATACTGATACAAACCTGCATTAATGACCACATCAGATCAAACATATTACATATTAGTGACTGTTCCTCTATATAAATCAATACTGTTACAAACCTGCATTAATGACCACATTAGATCAAACATGTTACATATTAGTGACTGTTCCTCTATATAAAACAATACTGTTACAAACCTGCATTAATGACCACATTAGATCAAACATATTACATATAAGTGACTGTTCCTCTATATAAAACAATACTGTTACAAACCTGCATTAATGACCACATGAGATCAAACATATTACATATTAGTGACTGTTCCTCTATATAAATCAATACTGTTACAAACCTGCATTAATGACCACATTAGATCAAACATATTACATATTAGTGACTGTTCCTCTATATAAAACAATACTGTTACAAACCTGCATTAATGACCACATTAGATCAAACATGTTACATATTAGTGACTGTTCCTCTATATAAAACAATACTGTTACAAACCTGCATTAATGACCACATTAGATCAAACATGTTACATATTAGTGACTGTTCCTCTATATAAAACAATACTGATACAAACCTGCATTAATGACCACATTAGATCAAACATGTTACATATTAGTGACTGTTCCTCTATATAAAACAATACTGTTACAAACCTGCATTAATGACCACATTAGATCAAACATGTTACATATTAGTGACTGTTCCTCTTTTACATGGCTGTTGATTCTCAATAAAAACTTTATCAGACATTGTTCTACTATATATGCATTTTTCTGGAAAAAAAAGAAACTTTGAAATTAAAATGATGGCGCTCAAAGACGTCCTGATTCTACATCTTATGTTATCTGATATACATACAAACATTAAACGTTAAAAATCAGAACTCATTCAATCATAATATACATGTATCAGTGTCTGATCTCTCTCTCTTTCAGTGTCTGAGATAAGTTTCTTGATGCATACTGTCTTTGAGTGATACTCCTCTATCTATTACAAACTAACAATGAAACGACATTTTTACTAAACTTTTATTTTGTTATTATGTCAGCTAGAAAAGTTCATTCAACTGAGTTTTGTCTTATGTTCTTTTATTTTCTCCATTGATTTTTTATGTTTAATTGCTGAACTTTTTTGGTGTGAAGAAGGTATGTTTAATGAACTTACTACTGGTAGATTTAAATTGAAACAGCTGAACTGTGTGTTATTGCTCACTAATGATATCCAAACTATAAGTTCTAGTTGGTGTGTGACAGATGTAAAAAACTATAGCATGCTTGAAATGCATCGAAAATTTCATACATTGCCATTATGTTTTTAAGAATACACAAGTATTCTGTAACAGGAAGTTAATGAGAGATGAATCTTAAATGAATCACACATTATACCACGCACTCATGAAACTTTCAAGAAGTTCTAATTTGTAGTTAATAAGAAAAATATGACCTAAATATTATAGGATGGACAGACAGAAACAATGATGGATGGATGGACAGACCTTAACCAATATATCCCTCTTTGGAGCAGGGGAGGGGTCTTAGTGGCTGAGTGGTGGATTAGTTTATATATTGTATCACTAGCATGTCAACACTGAGGTTGTGAGTCCAAACCCACAACATGGCAGGTGCTTTTGACTCCAGTCTTAATTGACTAAGATTGTCAGTATTCCTGCAGAAGGTTAATGGTTCTCTCCGGGCTTCTTCCACAGATAAAAAGTTACAGCTACAATATAGCCAATAGTGCTGATAGTTGTGTTGCACACCAACTATCAATCAATCAATCAATCATTTGGACGAGGGTAAAATGACATGTTACATCTTTCTAATTATCAATTGATTTTCAATTAACTACTCATGTAAATTTATTGTTAATAATTCTTTTGCTTCTATTTAATGGATGTAATTTACAGAATATACAATTTATTGCCATCTAAATAAATCATTAAAGTTATTCAGTTCAGATCACAAAAATAGAATACTTACAAGTAATGGGGCTAGCTGGTCAAACAAATGAGCTGCAACTAATAAAGTTGTACAAGATTTACTTGGGTGATGTCCAAGTGATGTATCATCTGCTTTCAACAAAGTGTCTTCTGGAAACTATCAAAATATATGATATTATTTGGTCAATTAAATTTAGTTCCTGAAAAATTTGCAAACAATCAGAAGTACTGCTAATATATTGAAAATTGTGCTTATATTCAAGAACATTTACAATGATGGACATCACTAATAGTGATCATCAGATTCAGATTCATATAAAACCTACTAAAATATACTAAACTAACATAATTTCTGCTTTTAAAGTTAGTCATCACTGACAAAGATTTTGTTTTACAAACTATCTTAAGCAGGGCATACAATCATTTTTGCTGAAACAATTTACATAATGGCTCTAAAATTTAATTTGAAAATATAAAAAAATAATGTATTTTTCCTCTAATGACGATAAAGGTTTATTTTTTAAAACTAGTCACTATTTCAATAATCATATGTTTATATATACTAACCTGATCACCTGAATTTACATAAGGAAGGAGATTTTCCATGTAGTCCAACAGATACCAAGCTTTAGCTATATCATCAGTAGGTGGGTCCTGTAAGGGTCTATAACCCTCCACTGGGTATGTAAGGCAAGTTAAGGTCAATCATGATTGTCTACTCAATTAATTTTTTTTTTAAATCAAAAATATGAAACACTTTCAGCTTAACTATATTTTGATCATTCAATAATCCACCCTAATACATGTATATAAATTGATTACTGGTATATAATAAAGGCCTATGAACTGTTAACCTGCATTCAAATTATTGATTTCCCTTAATTTCATAAAAGGAAACAGTATGGCATGATTATAGATTATGAAATTGTTAGGAACTTCATAAAATTCTCTCTTTTTCACTAACATCAATAAGAAACCTCTCATAAAAAAGTACTTAAAAAAAGAGGGCCTCAAAATAGTCGTCACACTGATATGTACTGATAGTAATGCAACTCCATACAAAATATCATTGATCTATCACAAGTAGTTCCTATCAATCTAACTTAAGCAGAAAATTTATCTTTGAAAATTGCTAATTAATTCAAAGTCACTAGACCATTGCCTAGGGATCAGGGCCTCAAAAAAGTCGTCAAACTAATATGTACTGATAGTAATGCAACTTCATACAAAATATCATTGATCTATCACAAGTAGTTCCTTTCAAACTAACTTAATCAGTAAACTTAACAATTGTTGACGCCGTTGTCGCAGCCAGAAAAGCAATCCTTAAGTCTTGCTTTCCGCAATTTTCGTCACAGGCAAGACAAATACTAATCTCACTTTGTACCCCAAAAATTTAATCTGGATATCTGAGAGGTGTTGCTCCAAAATTGGCTCTAAGATTTTCTGATGCTGCCAAACTAACTGCAGGGAAATACGCATATCCTGGTCCAAGATTTATATTCGTAAAAGCTTTTCCCATATTTTTACCATTCCTAAAAAATAGGAAAGATATTAGAATCTTTATGGCATTTCTGATCTGTATGTAATTGTAAAGGGCATACAAGCAGTGGTTTACTTTATACAGGTGTTTAATAAGGCTATATCATCCAGATTTAACAAATATTTTTCTTCTGAACGCCAAGGTAAATTAGTGCTATTTTTATTGCTTTAAAATGTTTGACTCCTTTGTTAATTAAAAATTCTGTTAAACAAATTCTCAAATGGATCTTTTTACAATTGTATTCAGACACATAGCATTGGTTCTTTAAAGGTTTAAGTTATATGCATGTGAATAACATGAACTAACTTGCCTATAACACTGTCTATCTTGCCTATAAAGGGTGTCATACTTGCCTATATAAAGTGTCATACTTGCCTTTAAATAGAGGAATACTTACATATATAACGTGTCATACCTGCCTTTAAATATAGGAATACTTACATATATAACGTGTCATACCTGCCTTTAAATAGAGGAATACTTACATATATAACGTGTCATACCTGCCTTTAAATAGAGGAATACTTACATATATAAAGTGTCATACTTGCCTTTAAATATAGGAATACTTACATATATAACGTGTCATACCTGCCTTTAAATAGAGGAATACTTACATATATAACGTGTCATACCTGCCTTTAAATAGAGGAATACTTACATATATAACGTGTCATACTTGCCTTTAAATAGAGGAATACTTACATATATAACGTGTCATACCTGCCTTTAAATAGAGGAATACTTACATATATAAAGTGTCATACTTGCCTTTAAATAGAGGAATACTTACATATATAACGTGTCATACCTGCCTTTAAATAGAGGAATACTTACATATATAACGTGTCATACTTGCCTTTAAATAGAGGAATACTTACATATATAACGTGTCATACCTGCCTATCAAAGGTGTCATACTTGCCTATAAAAGGTAACTGTTCCTTCATCACAATCGATAGCACAACTAATTATATCCCCTGTGGTCCATGCCTGACAAAGTATAAAGAGTACATTATAAATATTGTACAGTAACACAATCTATATGTCCTCTAGAACATAGTCAGAGTCAGTGTACTATTTCTAGCTGTGACAAATAAATGTAAGAGATATAAACTTAATTTTGAGTAACAGCAGAAAAGGGTTATTGTAAAAGTATTGATGAATTTGACACTCATTTAATTCATTTTAAAACTAACTGAGTAAAGATTTAAATTATTCAAAGATTTCACATCTTAAATATGTATGTCCTTGCATGAATAATATTATGATACTTTGATTCCAATGTGAAATAAAAAGCCAAAAAAAATTCTGAAAATTCTGAAGACATATGAAAAGAATTCTGGTATGGGTTTTTAATTTGCATATAATATAAGAATGAATGAGACTATGTTTGGTGTAAATTGGTCCAGTGATTCCTCAAAGTAATTTGTTCAATACTTTTTATTGATGGATAATAAGATAAACCAAGCAAAAGTTGGCAAAAGTTAAAGTTGAGCAAAACACATCTAAAATCATTAACAGACTTTGGAATAATATTATTTTTTCAGTTTGCCTTTTCACATAATTTCAGATTTACTCAAAAACTTAACAAGTAAACATGTTAAATCAGCATATACATGTATGTTGACAACAATCTTGATCTTCAATTCAGGAATAGACAATAAATACATTATTGATACCTCTCCATATCTTTGTGTTGTTTTATTCCATTTTCTGACACGGTTCCCATCAAAAGCATATGAATCAACCGTGTCTCCCACACCTTCCTGTGTAAATGACAATCAAATTTGTTAATGTGGAGCGACATATCTTCCTGCCAACTGTTAACTTGTCAGCTATTACATTTAAATCTAACTCAGGATGTTGGGCAGGAAAAATCAGGTTTCCTATTTATATTTAACATACTGAACATGGTTGACATAAGACCTGCTGCTTGTTAATCATTTATTCATCCTAAAGTTATATTACTTAAACCTGTTTTGACATAAATTAGAGGACATCAATTTCATTTGATATCTTGACTTAACAAGGGAAAATATGCAAAAGTAATTGTTGTATTCTGTCAATAGCAAGAATTTTAAAACTCCAAAAAAGGGCAGCAAGATTAATTCTAGATGCAGATCCTTTATCCCCCTCAGCCCCCTTATTTAAAAAACTTGGGTGGATGACAGTTGACAATAGAATAAAATACCACAAATATTTACTTCTATATAAATGTATGCATATGGAAGCACCAATGTACCTAGTTCAAAAGTTTAAACTGAAATCAGATAAAAATCCTTACTCCCTGAGAGGCGTCACTCAAGGTAATCTGATAGTTCCTAAGCCAAAAGCTGAGCTATTTAAGAAATCTTTTGTTTATTCTGGATCAGTGTTATGGAATGGACTACCACACAAAATGCGTAAAGCTCAAAACACTTATACTTTTAAACAAAGTATCAAGAAGTACTTAACACAGTCCTGATAAGATTATATTTTCTACAATGTATTTGTATATTCTTTTATTTTTATTTGTATTTGATTTTTTGACTACATGTACATCTTGAACAGCCTTATATCTTATCATGTTAGTAATATTACATTGAACTAATTGACTGTAAATTAACTTTGTGTAAATATCTGTTTTTGATTGTATTGTAATTTGTATGTGAGGGCCTCAGGGAAGATTAGTTTATTGTAACTAACTGAGTTTACCCTCTTTAAATAAAGAATTTATTATTATTATTATTATTATTATTATAATAAACAAGGTCAAGTTTCAAAATCATTCTCAAAAATCTGAATCTTGAGACATTAGTTAATGAATTTCAAGTAGGAACTAGGTCTAAAAGTCTGCTCAATGGATAAAGTTATAAATGCTTTTGGATGTAAAATAATTACAGGTGTGCTATAACACGGGATTCACTGTAGCTAACGGCAGACGCGGTGGCGATACGAATGGTAAATTCATGTTTTGTAATAGTAAAGGCACAAGTGTCAACAATTATCTTCTTGTGTCTCCGAGCAATTATGGTATTATAAGTGACTTTGAAGTTCTAGAAATGAATGAGTTTTCAGATCATATGCCTTTATTTTTTTTAACTTAACTTTTCCACTATATGTCCAAAGATAACAAATACTACAACACACAATTTCATTAAATGGGAAACTAATAAAAATGATGAGTATGCACAAATGTTACAACTTCATAGAGAAATACTATTGTCAGTTGTGAATGAAATTACTTCAGATGTCGACATACATAATGTTGTAAGGGAGATAACTCTTATTATTTACGATAGCGCTTTCAAAGTGTTTGGACAATCAGTTTCTATTCGTAAAACATAAATCGCCAAAGACTTTGCTGGATACATTAGGTTGTACAATAACATTGTAGATAAAATGTATAATGACTTAGATTGTTGTTGTCAATAAACTGTGGTTCTTTCCTAATCTTATGCATTATTTTGCATTTTTCATATTTACTATACAAAATAAACATTACAATGATTTGAATTATCTAATATTGTCTTCCATTTTTCTTTTTTTTTTTAATCAAACACCAACTGACTTTTAAGTTATATTCGATGAAAAAACAAATTATGTGATAGCCAACATATTTTCTAACAAAAACGTTTATTTTAAAGCAAAATACTAAGTACCCGTATATAGAAAATGTATCTTTACCTCATGAAAAAATTTACAATTAATTGTGCACCATCCAATCTGCATCATTCCTTCTGATCCTAACATCACTTCATAGACCCATTTACCTGAAAAAAAATGATAACTTTGACAGTAATTGTCATTCTTTAATGTCTGTTAAGGAATCTTTATGTGAAGTTTCAGCGACTATTGGAGGAATTGATTACACAAATTAGGTACCCACTTTTCTGTGATCAATCGCCTGCAATCTGCCCAACATTGCCATTCAATAAGCAGGTTCTGGACTTCTTCTATCCAGTTGACAAATTCAAGAACTCTCATATATCTAATTGCCTCAATAGAAAGTAATGAATTACCTACCCTTGAAGACACAGCAGTTGGCTCGAATGGTACTAAAATTGCTACAACTTGTGACCTGAAACAGGAATGTAGTTTTATATCATAATAAATGTTTTATTAAATAAACTGTTAACACAGAGATATGTCTCGCCTATTTGTTATTTTGATAATGCAAATGTTGAAATTAAAATAGCAATACTTTAACATGTAAGTTATGCAAATATTCAAAGTCAATGAACCATGACTGAAGGTACAGGGCTAAACAATCTCCATGGAAATGAGATGTGCCAATGCTAATACAACTGCAAACTAAATACCATTGACTTTTCATAAGTCGTTCCCTTTAAACAAACCTAAACACAAACATTAACTTGTAAACTATGTAAAAGTTTCAAAGTCAATGAACCATAATTAGGGGGTGGGGTTATATATAATCTCCATGGAAATGAAACTTGCAAATGCCAATACATTTGCATACCGAATATCATTGACTTAACATTAGTGGTTCATCTCGAACTGACCTAATCACAAACCAATACATGTAAACTAAGCAAAAGTTTCAAAGTCGACCATGACTTATGAGTAAGGACCAAATATTCTCCATGGAAATGAGATGTGCTAATGCTTATACAACTGCATACCAATTATCATTGACCTACCACTAACAGTTACCCTTAAACTGACCTAACCACAAACTAATACATTAAAACTAAGCAAAAGTTTCAAAGTCAATAGACCATGAATGAGGGGGCAGGGCTAAATAATCTCCATGGTAATGAGATGTGCCAATGTTAATACAACTGCATACCAAATATCATTGACCTACCACTAGTGGTTCCCCATAAACTGACCTAATCACAAACTAATACATGTAAACTAAGCAAAGTTTCAAAGTCAATAGACCTTGACTGAGGGGGCAGGGCCAAATAATCTCCATGGTAATGAGATGTGCCAATGCTAATACAACTGCATACCAAATATTATTGACCTACCACAAGTGGTTCACCATGAACTAGACCTAATCACAAACTAATACATTGTTGACGCCGCCGGCGTCGCCGCCACCGGAAACAGCATACCTATGTCTCGCTTTTTGACTCCGTCAAGGCGAGACAAAAACCAAATTGAACTATTTTTTTCTGAAATGATGTAATCAGTTTAAGTATTTCAGATTGTATTTATTCAGCATATTTACCATAAAAAAAAAAAAAAAAAAAGATTATGTTGGAATATACATGATAAAACTGCTGCAATTAATTAATCTTGAGTTCTACTATGCCTACATTGTTTCCTTTATACTGAATTATTCTTTAATTAGTGTCTTATTTGTTGTGGAATGCATAAATACCCTGCCACATCCTGTCTGTGTTTTCATTAGATGTTTTCTGCTTTGTATCGATCTGATAAGTTAAGCCCTTTTCCACTGATTTTTATAGTTTGTTCTAATGTTTTACTGTAACACCACTGTCCTAGGTTAGGGGGAGGGTTTAGGACAGCAAACTAGTTTTACCCTGCCACATGCTATATGTGCCTGTCCCAAAACAGGTGCCTGTAGTTCAGTGGTTGTCGTTGGTTTATGTCTGTCATATTTGATATTCGAAATTGTTTTGTTATGAATTAGGCCATTAGTTTTCTCAATTGAATTGTTTCATATTTTTCATGGTGAGCCTTTTATAGCGGACTATATTTCCTTATTCTTATATAATCAAGATCTATGCTACTAACTTTAAAACTTAAAAGGGTTCATACATTCATAATGTCTAAGTGTAGTTTCAATTTGAAGAAAATATCAATGAGACAGAAATCAAGCAATGCTTAAATTCAGACAAGACCAAATTTGGTGATGACTGAAATTTTGGACTCAAGCTGTATTGTAGAAAAGACCAAGTATTGTGACTAGATACTTATCCCATGCTCTTTCATATTGTCAAATTTGTTACCTTATTTAGTTGTTGAACTACAATGTAATACAAAAGCAACAAATAGATACAAAAGTGTAAAATAATTCATTATCTAGATCAATACAACCACAAAAGTTGTACAATAAATGCACCTAATGAGGATGTGTTAACTTTTGACAAAGCTGATGTCAATTAACACAACTGTTATCCATTAAACAATGTGTATATTTGTGGTTCAGATTTTAACAATTTAAAGGAATTATCATAATTTATACATGCACTTTATATTTTGAAATATTACATCTGCCCTATTAAAATAACTTTACATTTATTTATTACCAATCTTTTGCTGATGAATTTGTCCCAACCTATTTTCCAGTAGCAGTGCACATTTATCACCCTCATCTTTTTGTCCTGAAGATGCAGTTAATATTTGTCTTTGGACATAAATCAAACAATCGAAATATTTTGCCTGTGAGCAAGCAAACAGATACTTATGAAACTAACTTCGAGTCTGTGTGATTCAACAGCTACTATCCCACTTCCTCCATTGGATCTGAAGTCAAACACAACTTCTGAAGGACCAATTCTTCCAGATGTGTTTTCTTTATTTCCTTCAAAAATCAATTATGGTTTTAGCACAAAGCAAAATAGAACTTAAGACTTATACATACTTTTGTTGATTACTCAAAATCATAGAGACAGAAGGAATAAATACCAAAATTTCATATTTGCAGGTAAGGATATTGTAAACCCATCAATTTTCATGTACATCTATCTCATTTCTATTTTTTTTAAATTTATACTTTTAAAATAGTAAGTTTTGGGTTGCTGTCTGTCTGTCATACATGTATGTATCTATTTATTGTTTGTCATAACCGCACGTTGACTTTTTCTTTTGAATTGTTTCACATTTTGTTCTGTTGGGACCTTTTATAGCTGATTATACAGTATAGGTTTTGCTCATTGTTGAAGGCTATACAATGACCTAATCCTTTTATAGTCATTAATATGAAAATAAGGAGATGTGGTAATATTGCCAATGAGACAACTTTCCAAAAGAGACCAAATGACATAGAAATTAACAACTATAGGTCACCGCTTCATTTGAACTCTGTTAGATAGTTGTCTCATTGACAATCATACTACATCTCCTGATCTTTTTTATTTATTTGTAATACAGTCAAAGGCAATCATCCTGTATCAGCCATCAGTGATGATGTCCATATCAGTCATGGCTTCATTTAACCCAAAAATCTGTATTATGGTACATCATGGCATGTCACACTAAAACATCTTTTTTTATAAAGTATATATATAATATGGCTTTTCAATATCACACACCCTATCAACCCTCCTCCAATTTAATCTCATGAGCTTATATTTTAGCCTCAGGTTGATATTGAAAAATCCATACTATATTTTCTATAGATTTTTCTTACCTTTCTTTACTCTGCTGTCAGATTTAGGATTTTCAAGAACATTGCCAAGGAAATACTGTAAATTCATTAAACCTGTTGGCTTGCTGAAAGTATTAATGTCATTACAAACAAATAATTATAGACAATATATCACATTAAAAAAACTTTAATTGGCAATCTTTTCACAAAGTGTAAATTTGTGCTTTTGTCCTATTCAACAAATGGGACCTATACTGAAACTAACAAATTGTTGGTATAAGCTTTAAATTTAAAGAAACAGTACAACAAAATCAGACACAAAAAAAATCAAAAGTTAAAATTTTGGATGTTGGTCTCTTAGGTTTACTTTCAAATGCTGTAAAATTAATTCTTATTAAGAATTGATAAATAAAATACTCATTTCAAATAGATGATAAATATAAAAGGAACATAAAATATTGTGAAAAATATTTTCTTCGCATCTTTTCCAGCTTCTGTTTTCCATATTTGGTTGTGGACAGGAGAATCCCTCAAATCAATATATATGTGCATATTTTTGTGCCACATTACAATTTGTTTATTGAATTTAATGAGAAATGGTTCATTAAAACAAAGTCATTAGATTTAACCAAGTGTTAATGGAAGAATGTTAATATCCCTATTCCATAATAGTAAGTATAAAGACAAATTTTTTATGGTCATTTAAAAATCATTGCCACATTTTTTACCTTGTTTCATACACAGCAGCTGTAGCCCCTTCTTCTTTATGATGAAATACAACATCAAGAATTTCTCGCAGGTAAGGGTCTATAATAAAAAATGTAATAATGTAACAATGCTAATTTGTAAAAGTAAATTGCAAAATTGTAACCTTATATAGATTGCATATGCATTTTAAGGCTGTATAATAACTGCTTTATATATATAAAATTGAAATGAATTTCATCTATTTCCTTTCTACATATATATATTAGTCAACACAAAACTACCTTGAATTTAAAACTACTGTCCTGTTTTAATCAGTTTTATAGTGTTTAAATTCATAACTTTACACAATTATATAATTATTATGTCAAAATTAAATAAAAAGAGTAAGAAATTACCAGCAGGATAGCTAAAACAATGAGCCAAAGAAAAACAAATAATAATATGAATCAAAGCGCTTGTAAGCACTGAAGGATAAAGATTGCTATAATTTATCAGTGGGAAGTAAAAGTAAACATTGCATTGTATAAAGCATTGGTTGTAGTTGATTCAACTACAATTATGAACAAAGGAAGATAATTTCAATTTTAAAGATAACTTTAACAATGACATCATTGATATTTTTAGAACAGATATTAGATCCCTGCACCTTGCACAATGTAATTTTTCTTGACAAGTATAACATCATTTTGTAACTTGAATATCTGAGCATATATTTCATTAATAAATTTCTGAAAATATTCATGGATAAGATGTTTAGAATGTTATGAGCAATGCACTATATTTTGTGTATCTCAAAAGTAGTGATAAACCTTGGAAGATTTAGATATTTAGTCAGTACCATAGGGTTTTGATTGCATTTCATGCAATCTTTACCAAAAAACAACAACAAGACAAACAAGTCCACAAAACACTGCACAGAAAACTAAAGATTAAGCAATGTTACAAAGTAAACGAGGGTAATGTAATTTCTTCAGTTTCTCATTCTTTACAGAATTAAAATTGGTTTTGAATGAACAGTTTATAAAACTTTGAAAACTGACTTTTTTTTTAACTAATTATTTGTTCTTAAATTGCATTCAAAGTAATTTTTGATAGTGAAAATAGTAATACCAATACAATATACTGATTTTTAAGGGTGAAGGCAATGAGCCAATTGTTGTTTTATAAAGTTCATATGTGAGGCATTTACCTGACCTGATACTACACATTAATTTCTGTAATACTCAATTTCACAATCATTCACTCATAATATTGTTAATCAAAGACACTAACTATTATTTTAATACATGTACTTTTTTATTCAGTAAATAACTTACTTTATGTATTGTATTAAGAGAAAAATTGTTAAAAGTAAAATCACCAGATAGCTGAAAATCAAAAAAAAAACTATAACTTTAAGGAAGTTTTTCATAATAAATGGAGAAAAAATGACAAAGAATAATTAAACAATATATTCAGACTATAGAATAGTATTCATTATTGTGTCACTCATAAAAAATATACAAACAAAAAATGTTACCCTTATCTATAGAATTCAAATAAATCAGAACATATCTTTTATAATTCAAATTACACACAAAATTTAAACAGTGACCATTATTTTGTTTGACTTCTTAAACTACCTTCTGAACCAGTATCCTGATCTTGTTCTGATCTGACATAAATCCCTCCCTTGTATGCTGCTTCAGCCATTTTAACCTGTTAATGAAAGGTATTAAAATCAGACAACTAGATAATCATGCACAAATAAACTTGTGCACATGCTGTTTACTGATAATGATTACATTTTATTGTGAAAGATTATGGTTTTAAAACAGCTATCATATAAGCTTAACATTGTCAGGTGCAATTTGCTAGATTGACATGTACATTTGTACACCTTTAAATACAATCATTTCAAACACTAACCATCCAAACGCTGCCAGACAAAAATCAACACCTCACAATCATTTCATACACTAACTATAGTTACCTATTGCTTATAGTATCTGAAAAACAGACCTTACCACGAAAAACTTAATGTTGACCAATAAACCATGATATGCCATGAAAATGAGGTCAAGGTGAGATGAAACCTGCCAGACGGACATATACATGTCATGTATACCTTTCAAACAATCCATACCCCAAATACAAAATGTATTGTAGACCTATTGCTATTAGTATTTGAGATATGGTCTTAACCACAAACATTTAATTAACATTGATCTCTGATTAATGACATATTGAAAAGACAGTATTTTTTTCCCAAATTGTTTTAAAGAATCATTTTGATCATTGTATATAAATTTAATGTAATTATTCAGCTCAGCTTTGGGCGCTGTGATAAGCAATAAAATACTATTCTTTTCTTTTGAAGACTGTATGTTGTCCTCTAATTGTCACATATACATGTGAAATGTTAGTGTTTGGGTTATCTGAATCAAGTGAAATACATGTATCTGTAAAGGGGGAAAAGGCATCAACAGGTGTTCAATTTACAATATTGGTGCAAATTTATTCAAAAGAGAATCCTTCGAAAGTACACTTCACATGCATAATATCAAATGTAGGCCTTATTTAAATATAATATATCACGTCGTCTGCTAATCTGTAACAGATATTTTGTTTGGACTTGAAAGTTGAATATATCACAATTTTACGACGCAAAATTACAAAATAATGGAAAATCATTTGCCAACATACAACTATTAGATGTGGCTAAATGAATATCAAGATGTCAATCGTCTATTCATTTTAAATATTCTTGCACAGATCACCCTATTTATGTTTTGTTTTGGTACACTTGACCAGTGATTTGAACCAGGAAGTGCCTAACAACTCAACTTTATGTAACCGGAAATGGTCACACCTAAAGTACTATTTTTTTAATTTATTTCAGCATAAATATCCGACTTGCTAAGAACAAACCAAATTAAGAATAAGAATAAAGTATAAATTTGTATGTGAATCTATCGCATTCAACGGCGAAAAATTAAAAAGATACCAAATATTATAATGATTTTGATATTACTACGCGTGGGAGGCCATTTTCGCCGGTGTGTGTATTTTATCAGCAGATTGAAACCTCACGAAGAATATTCGCAATGGATGAAGAATATGATGTTATTGTTCTAGGAACAGGACTAAAGGTATAAAAATGTGCTAAGCAAACAGATAAGACACGTAAAAAGACATAATGTCCTATAATAAATGTCGTTATTAGAACACAAGTCTACCATCAGTCTTGTGTGATGTCATCACTAAATTATCATGTGTTTTGGTTACAATACACAAAATCAAATGTATAATTTGCGAGACGGTCTATTAGATATGACAATAGATTAATTTTATGGCAAAAATGATTCAATCCGTTTAAATGATTAACTACCCTTAATACAGTTGCGGAGGCTGATCTGCCGACAAGGCGACATACATTTGGTGTTATTGATTTTTGTAAGCTTCAGTAATCAGAAGCCTTTTACTCTGATTTATGTATGAAATTTCAAAAGCCTGCTAATATGTCAGTTAATGCTTGATATTAACATAAATTTTGAGTGTCTCTTCATTTTTTTTTTTTTTATTTAAAGCCACACCCCCTTGATCTACATTGTCACACACAACTCAAATAATCAATACATTCCATGTATAAGAGTCAGCATCTTTATGATATACTTTAATATAGAGTTATTCAATAAACAGCTGACACTTCTTATTTAAGTTGACACAGACGTTGATCTTGTTAAGATCAAGTGGACATTGTCATGATTGTAAGAAAAAATAAATCAAGTTATCAACAACAAAAAAAGAACATGAATTTAATTGAAGAAAATTGTTTTATACAATGTAAAATGGTACTTTTATTGACACTTTTATTTTTCGTGGAAAAGCTCATAATTTCTTGAGCATACATGGTTTTTCCCCCCAAAAAAATAGCTATTCATGAATGAAATTTGTTGAGTTTTTTCAACCTGTTGATAATATATCTTTGGTTTTCTGATTCACTTACATTGAACCTACCAAAGTTTAAATTTGTCGCATTAATATGCTATAAAAAGGGTGAGAAACAACAGTGAAACTGTGTGGTAGAACTGCAAACAAGTTGTCAAATCCTTTACTAATGTATTTTGTATCTTGTTACACTGATTAAATGAAGGACAAATTGTGCATCATTGTTTAAAATTTAAAGACAAGCTATTAATACACATATATATTCATACGCATGCTCATATGAACCTTGTAAAAGAGAAGTCATGGATTGATTCAGTATAAATTTTACATTTTACCAAACCTAACATTTGCATGACAGTTTTTGAGTAAATTTTACATTGTGCCACATGAACACCAATTGTAACCATACTGTTATTCTGAATGGGCTGTAGCTTCTGTAACGATAACTTATTTTTTTGCCTTAAAAAAATTCTTTCAAAAAGAAATAAATTTTCATCTACAATTTATGCTTGGGCAACTGCTTCAATATTTTACTGGGTCCAAGTGATATATTCATTCTGATGCACTTGGGTATATATGTTACAGACATGCTCTCTAGAATATCAAATCAAATATTTTTTCAAAAGCACATATAATAAATATGACATTGCTTAGTCCAAGGGTAACATACATGACAAATAATGTAGATAAAACATAACAATGCAAAACAGCATGAACAGGTGAAAATTAATGATATTAGAATAAGATATTTTTTTGTTTTATTTAGATTCTTGCCACATGATTTGAAGTACTTCTTTATTTTTTTAGGAATGTATTATAAGTGGTATGATGTCAGTTATGGGAAAGAAAGTTCTTCACATTGATAGGAATTCTTATTATGGAGGTGAAAGTGCATCAATCACACCACTGGAAGATGTAAGTATTCATGTAGTCTGTGGGAACAGTTTACTCAATATAATTAAGTCTCTAACCTTGTTACTGCAGTGGTCTCATTAGCCCAATTTAGAAGGGCGCTGTGCTCTTGATGTCCTTAGCCACACCATTCTGTCCTTATAACCTTAAATCTAATAAGCACTCATACTATTTTTTTGTGGTGATCAAATGATTGAATTTCCATCAGTAATTAGTTATTAGTCCCCTACCGACGAAGTCGAAGGGGACTTTAGGTTTGCACTCCTTCTGTCTGTCCATCTGTCAGTCCGGCAAATCAGTTTTCCAGACTTTTTTTCTTCGTGCTTGAAGATATTGATTTGATATTTGGTTTATTGATTTATCATGACAAGGTACAGGTCAAGTTTAATTTTCACGATTTTAGCTTTTCTCTTTGTTCAGTTAAAGCCCTTTCCCTAGAATTAAATTTTTGATGAAATACTTATTAATTAGTAGATTTCTGTTCAAAGGGAAATAACTCATTTTTTTAAAAACAAAATGACATTTTGGATTTTTTTCTTTTTCTTTGGTAAATTGTTTGAAGAATTTAGTGGTAGGTTTGTTTGTCATTCTTGAAGATATTGATTTGATAATTAGTATATAGTTTTATCATGACAAGTTACAGATCAAGTTGGAATTTTGTTCCAGTCTGATAATTTGTGCAGAGTTATGGTCTTTGGACATAGAAAGTTCACTTAAATAATCAGTTTTCAACAGTTTTTTTCGTCATGCTTGAAGATTTTGACTTGATATTTTTAAGTAGTTTACACCATGACAAGTTATAGATCAAGTTAGTATTTCGTTCCATTACAATGAATTTGTAACCGGTAGGGGACTATGTATTGCCATGCAATACTCACAGAATGCTTGTTTTACATAATTTTGACATCTTTTGTGTCACTTGTGTGTCCCATTTGCAAGGTGTAAGTTAATTACCTGACAGTTAACCTTGAATTATGGCAATGAAATAAACCTGAATTTTTAAGTTGGAGAAACTAGGTCATGGTGTTCAGAAGAAGGATCCATGAAAACCTGGCCAACAGGTTATAAACAATGATACACTACAATATTGTATTTTAACAGCAATAAATGTGTTATAAATAGGGATCATTTTAAACATAGTTTAATGATATTACATAAATGTATTAATTTTGTTGAATATCAGAATCGTGTGCATTTGAATCTAGATTATTTTTTTAATTACAATTTTCACAAGGTGACATCAAGTAATTTTAATCAAAAATCTAAGGCGACACAAATTTTTCCTAAATGTTTTTTAAGGGGAAATTATAGGGTGGCAACCTTTTGCCAAGTATGGTGAGTGCTGATCATGGCAATTTAGTTTTTTCCAACTCTTGTCACAATGGCAAGTCATGATAAATCTGTGTTGGCTTGTCAATGATATTACATGATTATGGTATTTTGATTGTAATGGTAGGTAGTTGCAGGAAGTTCCTGTTGTGACAAGCTTACTGAAAATTTCCTCCACAATTTTATTTACCACTCCTGTTGTATATTCTCTAAACTCTTCGATCCACTCCCTTAGGGTGCCAGTTATATTCCAATGTACACAAGTCCATGACATACAAAATAGCCTTTCCATAAAAATGTATTCATTGCCATTTAATTTGCCAATCACCCAAAACCTAATAGGTTTGTTCTACTTTGATAGCTAACAACTAATATTGTAACATAATTTTTAAGATTACAAGTAATTAAATAATTGAACAAAAGCTACATATGTCAATGAAATGTAAATAAATGTAAACATGTCTTTTCTTTACACATGTAGATTTACAAAAAGTTTGGAATGGGCACACCAGCAGAAAAACTAGGAAGAGGAAGAGATTGGAATATAGATTTAATTCCAAAATTTCTGATGGCTAATGGTATGTATCTGTTTATTGATTTATATAAAAAAATGAGATGTGGTATGATTGTCAATGAGACAACTATCTACCAAACATCAAAGGACAACGATGTAAACAACTGTTGGTCACCATACGAGCTGGGAAAAGAGAATGTGATAAATATCAAAAGAAAAAACAATGGCCTGATTTAAGCTACATGTAATTACATAAAAAAAAAAATAAGAACAATAATTCTTGCAGATGTCAACCAACAACAGCCTCCTGCGACAGGCATTTAAAGAATTTAGTTTTTCAAGATCTAAGAGTGCAGGTAGGTTAAACATTTTTTGGCAACTCTCCACCTTACTTGGGACAGGGATGTAACAGTACAACTTTAGAACAAACTATAAAAATCACGTGAAAAGGGCTTGACTCCTCATATCAGTACTAAGTACTAAAAACAACTAACAACAATGTGGAACTATTCATAACAAAAATATAGAAATCTGCACAATGGATGATGTTAGCCAAGATGAACAATCTGTCTAAAAGGTGTTTTTCAAGATGATTTTCCATCAATAAATGAGGCAGTGTACATGGTGTACAGGTTTTAATATACAATTTAAAAAATAATTGTACTTATTTAATGATATGCTTTTATCCCCTTCTTAGTAATGCATTTAACAGGTTGCAGTTGAACATTCTGATGTTGAAAATACAAAAAAAAACTAAGCTGATTTACACAGTACCGTTTTATAATCAACCTGTATTGGAAATGTTCTCAGTTCATCATTGGTCAAAATTCCTTGCCCTGTTGCTGTTGCTGTTGAAAATTTCAAAAAAAAAAAAAAAAGACCGCTGACCATACCTGATGACTGCTAACAGAAAGAATACAATGTTAGGAGATCATAGAAAAATATGTTAATGTTTGCTTTTATATCTTGTGAAAATCATAAGAGATCAATATGACATTTTAAATCTCTTGACAGTTAAATTAATAAGCTGTCTTGAGTGTGGAAATATCTTTTCACTGTTGGTGCAGTGGTAGAACCAATACTTCTGTCTCAATAATCACGGCCTACATTAGATGTCTGGGTAAATAACATATTCAACTAACTTTTAAACAAGAAAACATAACTGTCAACCCTCAACTGCTTAACAAGATTTTGTTGATGTTAACTGATTTATTGGAAAAGTAATGTTATTTTCTTTCAAATGTTAAAGCTGTCTATCAGTTGAAGGGTTTATATTAGAATAAATAGTGTGCATATTTTGTAGGACAATTGGTTAAGCTGTTGGTAGGTACTGGTGTGACCAGATATTTAGAGTTCAAATGTGTAGAAGGAAGCTATGTGTTTAAAGGTGGTAAAGTGTACAAGGTCCCAGCTGATGAGAAGGAAGCATTGACTACATGTAGGTATTTGTTAGTAAAGTTAAAGGAATGTTTAGCAACCTTTTAATGCCATTGTATAATGTAGTTGTTCCTTAAAATAGATTTAAGAAGATGTGGTATGAGTGCCAATGAGGCAACTCTTCATCCAAGTCACAATTTGTAAAAGTAAACCATTATAACACCGAGCCTTGGCTCACACCAAACAGCAAGCTATAAAGGGCCCCAAAAATGACTAGTGTAAAACCATTCAAACAGGAAAACCAACTGTCTTATCTATATAAAAAACGAGAAACACTTTTGAACCACATCAACAAACGACAACCACTGAACAACAGGTTCCTGACTTAGGATAGGTGCAAACAAATGCAGCGGGTTTAAACGTTTTAACAGGCGCCAACCTTCACCCTAACCTGAAACAATAGTGTAACACCATAACATAGAAAGACACACTATAAAATATCAATTGAAATAACTTAATTCAATCAAAAGACATATTAACAAAAACAAGTAAACATACACTGAACGAATAAATTTGATCTATGACACAATGTAAATACAAAATTGATAAAAAAGGGGGTGAGATGTAAAACAATAGACAGGATTACACATGATGTGGCCTTGGCCTCTGTAGGAATCCACAGAACTATCCAAGAAATCTTATAATTATCATAATCTTGTGGCTCAACAAAACATCAGCATTTAATAATGACTGAAATACTGTTTTCATGCCCCCGCCGTAGGCAACAGGGGCATAAAGTGTTGCCCTTGACCATCCATCCCATTTTCGTTTCCGCACTAACTTCGGTTTGCCTTATGCAAATTTTATGAAACTCATACACAATACTAAGAACCACAGCTTGCAGACAGAGTTCAAATTTTGGTTGTGACTCATTTATTGTTCTAAAGTTATGCCCCTTTTTAACTTGGAAAATTACAAAGCTTAAGCGGGGTCATTTATAGACACATTCTTCTTTTTATTTTTCTATTGATTTTATATACGTATATATGCTTAAAATTTGAAACCACAAATTGAAAAAACACCAACAACATTAAACAGAAAAAGTGCTACCGTTATCAAAATGTTTATTCACATCATTTAATGATGGTTATAATATTTATAAAATTTAGAATATATTATAATATCAAGTATACTACATTAACCTGAATATGTACAGTACATATAAGTACAAGAAATGATATGAAAATATTGAAGAAAGATTTTTAACCATAAGATTAAATGTAATTGTACCAAATTAAATCAATATTGATTTTCCTGTAAAAATGTTTTACACAAATCAATATTTCCTTCCATTTAAACTACATTTTTTGTTCTATTTCAGCACTTATGGGACTTTTTGAGAAGAGAAGATTTCGAAAGTTTCTGATATTTGTAACTGAATTTGACTTAGAAAACCCCAAAACATGGCAGGGTGTAGACCCAAAACAAACCACAGCTTCAAAGTTATATGAAAAGTTTGGTCTAGACAACAATACAGCCGATGTAACTGGTCATGCTTTAGCTCTTCATCTAAATGAGGCGTAAGTGTCTGGGAAAGTTAGATTTCATATATAAAACTACTTTTAATGTAAAATTTAACTAAAAACAAATAGAGATTCTCAATTGTTTTTTTCTTAAGAGAATAAACTGTGTTTTGGTCGATATTGTAGTCTTATGCTGAACTTAAGTTTGATAAATTTGTAATACTTTCCTAAAACCTACTTTAGATTTACCAGTTTGTTGCCTTTTGCACAACTATGTTTAATATAATTGTAATCTTACTACTCTTGTTTTAACATAACATTGTCAACTTCCAGGTACAAAAATGAGCCATGTTTAGATTTAATTAACCGAGTGAAGTTATATTATGAATCACTAGCCAGATATTTGAAGTCTCCTTATCTATATCCATTGTATGGTTTGGGAGAATTACCACAGGGATTTGCAAGGTATGTTTACATTAATTATAGCTTATTTATTGTGAAAATTGCAGAAATTAATTATTTATTCTGCAGGTTCTGTTGTTTATAGGATTTTTAGATCACCTGGTTCAAAGGATTGTTGAGATCTAGAGCCAGCACTTTACATTTGTCTTAATTGTCATCATCTGTCTGTTTAAACTTTTACAAAAAATGTTCTTCTCTTAAACCACTGGGACAATTGAAACTTAACTTGATCATAGTCATCCTTACATATATTGTTCGTTTCAAATTCTTCTTTCCGTTTCATTTTGTCTTTGTAGATATATTAAACTTAAATATGGTAAAAAGATTAATTAATCATAACACAAGTTTTATTGTGGCAGTCCTTTTTGGGTTATTAGTAAATTAGTGTTCATGGTAGTACCTTTAAAAGCATAAAAGAAGTGAGAATTTTACCCTGTTTAAACCTAGGCTTTTTTTTTTCTCTCTGAAAGAACATGAAAATCTTTACATATTTGTCCTGATATATTTTACAAAACTATTCAAATCAAGCATTCACTTATATAGATCTAAGATTTCACAAATCAACTGGATTGTGCAAATTTGATTTCCTCCTATGATTCTTCTGTTTGGTAAAGATACAATAGTTCAATATAAACCTACAATTCTTTAAAACTTTCCATCCATTTTATTACATTGTCAGTATGTTGAATTTTCTGCATTACTGAAATTATCCTTGATATCAAATATTTACTGTGAAAAGCAATACAATATTCATATGGAATTGTTATAAATAGGAACCGTCCGTCAAGAATGAACTTAAAATAATCTAAATACCAAGTTAACTGCACCAAATGCTCATTTCGACAAAAAATGTCTTTTCAGTGATCAACAAGGCCAAAATTAAAAAGTTTAGGAAAGCTATTCAAATCAATTTTAAACAAATTTTAATTAGTAAATTGGATATAAATGGTTTAATAATATTTTCAGATTAAGTGCTATTTATGGTGGGACATACATGTTAGATCGACCAGATGCTGAAATAGTGTATGAGGATGGAAAGGTAGTGGGTGTGAAAGCCCAGGGAGAAGTGGCTAAATGTAAAATGGTTGTATGTGATCCGTCATATGCTACAGACAAATGTAAAACTGTAGGAAAGGTTTGTATGGTGTTAATATAATGTACTATGCTATATATATCCTTTTTAGTGAAGGTTGAGGTGTTGAGAGATAATGCGTAACTCAAGAACATAATAGAAGAAACTTGTATCCCTTAAACATGTTAAACTGTGTAATTCAAATTGTTGATATTATTAATTTATTCCAAAAACTAATGTTGAAGTGCAGTGTAATTCAGGGCTATTACATTTTACCCCTGTGCTATTGGACCCACCAAAGTACTACAGATTTTTCAAATGTCTAATTTCCTGCTTGTACAATTTTGATCACCTGATCATCTGGGTCAATATCCTTAATTTATTTTTCCATAGGCGGTAATGGTAACATTTTTTCCTGTAGCTCAGCCCATATCATAAACTTTGATATGTATAATGGCTCGTTTCGAAGCTGAGATATTTTCACATATGTGCTTAAATTTTCAGGGTACGAAGTGAGATTACTTTTTCTGTAAATTAGCTTACCCCGAAAATCCTTTCGTGATGCGGCTCCTCGTGGTAAAAAATCCCTTTTTTAACACAATATGTTCTTTGAAAATTTAAAACTTTGAACACATTTAATAGCTTCATAGTTTTTACACATTTATTCTATGTTCCTCTACTTTCTAAATCAACACAAATGGTTAGGCTCAGTCACTTGTTAAAAATAGAAACATGTCCAATATCACTACACAGAGATTTTTTGTTTACACACAACTTTTGAGTTCCTCATTTTGAGGCGCATTAGGGAATTGACCCATCTGGTGATTTGTCTGAGATTTTTATTATACCCCTGCTTTAAAAAAGTGGGGGTATACTGTTTTACCTCTGTCTGTCCTTCCGTCAGTCCATCCGTCAGTCCGCCCGTCCCATGAATATTTTCATCGCATTTTTCTCAGGAACTACTTGACCAGGATTTCTGAAATTTGGTTTCAGGGTTTATATAAGTAGGTTACACCGTGTGATGCGTTTTCAGACTCATCACTCAACAACTCCCTGTTTACCGAACACTTGTATTATTTTACACATGATAGCCAGGTTGAAAATTTTCGTCACATTTTTCTCAGGAACTACTTGACAAGGATTTCTGAAATTTGGTTTCAGGGTTAATATAAGTAGGTTACACCGTGTGATGCGTTTTCAGATTCATCACTCAACAACTTCCTGTTTACCGAACACTTGTATTATTTTACACATGATAGCCAAGTTGAAAATTTTCGTCACATTTTTCTCAGGAACTACTTGACAAGGATTTCTGAAATTTGGTTTCAGGGTTTATATAAGTAAGTTACATCGTGTGATGCGTTTTCAGATTCATCACTCAGCAACTTCCTGTTTACCGAAATATTTCGGCGGGAGTATCATCAGTGAGCAGTAGCTCACAGTTTTACCTAACAATGTCAATTATAAGAGGGACCAGTTCAATGAAAGAAGAAAATGTTGCCCTCCTCATAACTTTTACAGCCAGATAGATATTTTTTCAAGTTTTTACTAAAAAGAATAAAAAGATACAGAAATTTAATGAACTAATGATAGAAATCAGTGGAAATTACTCAAGAAATCATTTCAAATTTTTTAACTAAAGATTTACCATTTAAATGAAACATAAAGTGTCAACCCGTGGTAAAATCAATATAAATTCCAGCTACTATGAACTATTTCTTAAATATTGCTAAATTATGAAAGAAGTTTGACAGTCATTTTTATGTAACTAATTTTTGTGGAATATTTTAGGTAATTAGAGCCATTTGCATCCTGGATCATCCCATTAAAGATACAAAAGATTCATTATCAACACAAATTATAATTCCACAGAACCAAGTGAACAGAACGCATGGTAATCTTATTCTTTCTAGAAAATTTAATATGGCTTTTCATAAATATGTTATGATAGATGACTGGAATCGAAATTGAGTGCTGATTTAAAGAATTTTAATTGTACAAAATGTAAGAACTTTTTATATTATATAATAGTTTAATTGCAAAACGAAAGTTTGATAAGTTTGTGCATGTAATAGATATATCCTTTACACATTTCTTGTTTTTATTTTCATGAATGTAAACTGCATTGCTCAAATTAACTAAACATTGCTACACAAGCTTTTGACCCTGTATGTGATGTTTTCTTACAGATATATATATAAGTATGATATCAGCTACACATTTTGTCGCTGCAAAGGGACATTACTTAGCCATAGTCAGTACCACTGTAGAAACAAGCAATCCAGAGGAAGAAATAAGGGTAGCATTAGACCTTATTTCACCTATAGAACAAAAGTGAGTAGGTAATTAAGTTTCTGGCAGAAAAATGTTTTTGAAATATCCATCAATGCCTAATTGTGAAATACATTTTTCTTGCAGCTTTAATTTGAGATATTACAGAAGTGCAAAGTCAAAGAACATTTATTATTGTAAAAAAAGATTTATTCCAAAACTCAATAATTACTTTATTGGGAAGGAAATCAAAAAAACATTTCCAGTGAATCAGTTGGTATTTTCCAGGCTATTTAAATTTTTGCAAATAGAACTGTCCCATTGAATTAATACCATAGCTATTAACTGTGGAGTTATTTCAATGAGATCTTAAAATTTCTGCATTAAAAATCAGTCTTTCATTGATTAATTTGGCTGTACAGAAAAAATTAACTCCAAGTCATGAATAAATACATGTACCAACACTGAATAATTATATGTTCCAAGGTTTTTTAGCGTGCCCATTCTGTAAATATCTATTTAACTGTTCTTATACATATACATATATATTATTTCAGATTTGTGTCTGTGAGTGAATTAAAAGAACCAACAGATGATGGATCAACGTCTAAAGTAATATTTTATTTTCTGATTTTTGAAAATAGTTCATGTTATGAGTAAAACTTTTAGAAAATATCATTACATTTACTGTAAAAACTCAGAAATTAATACATTTTTTTTGCTTTGATAGTTAAAATTTATTTCAAACAAGATCAGACACAGTTTTAAGCTTTGCAATTAACTACTAAAAAAATTAAATGTAACCAAATTGGCACCAAATTGCCTGTCTGAGTTTTAACAAGCATTCTGTGAGTATTGCCTGACAATACATAGTCCCCTACCGGTTAAAAATTCATTGTACTGCAACAAAATGTTAACTTGATCTATAGCTTGTCATGGTGTAAACTATATAACAAATATCAAGTCAATATCTTCAAGCATGACGAAAAAAAGGGAGGAAAACTGATTATTTGATTAAATTTTCTAAGTCCAAGGACCATAACTCTGCACAAAATCATTAAACAGGACCAAAATTCGAACTTGATCTGTAACTTGTCATGATAAAACTATCTACCAATCATCAAATCAATATCTTCAAGCATGACAAAAAAAAGTGTGGAAAACTGATTATTTGAGTGAATTTTCTAAGTTCAAGGACCATAACTCTGCACAAAATCGTCAGACCGGAACAAAATTTGAACTTGATCTGTAACTTATGATAAAACAAAACACCAAATATCAAATCAATATCTTCAAGCAGGAAGAAAAAATGTGTGGAAAACTGATTTGACGGATGGACAGACAGAGGGACGAAGTGCAAACCTAAAGTCCCCTTTGACTTCGTCGGTAGGGGACAATATATCTGAGTTTGACCATTATTGGCATATACTAAAAGTGATTTTGCTTTCATTTTACTTAGGTAAATAAACCAGAGAAAATTTCAATTTGTAGAATTTTATTTGAAAGTTAACCTATATCAAGATTTCTTTATTGTAGGTTTTTATTACCAAGTCCTATGATGCAACATCACATTTTGAGACAACTTGTGCAGATGTAATTCAAGTGTTTGAACGAGCATATGGAGGAAAGTTTGACTATGACAAAGTTCAAAATACAGATCACGAAATGTAACATAAACAACATAATAGACTTCAAATTTTAACTCAATATGTTGTGATAAAGGGAAGCAATTCATTGCAAAGTTATGATGCATTTGGTATAAAAATATATTTGTCTATTTATTTGCATCTTTTTTTATTTGGTGCACTGGCTGAAACCAATGAAATATCAGTATTTGTTTGCTTCTTGTTAAAAGATATGTTATTTTGAGAATATTGGGGAAAGAAAATTGTACTTTTGTCTTTCCCTTAATTTGTTTGTTTTATAATTCAGCAATTGTTTGTGAACTGAACAACTGTACAGAGTATAAAACATTTTGAACAATTTGAAAACTAATATTAATTTTCATTCCATGCATAAAATTTCTTAAAATTTACAATCTTTTACTAAAAGTGTTCAAATTGATCAGTGTACATATGCTCTGATTTATTAATAAATTATTTTTATGTCTCTTTGTCCATTGACTTGTTCTAACAAAGTTTATATGTACAAATATCATTTTCATATTGTGTACATTGCATGAGACAACTTTGTCACATAAGAATGTCTGTTGAGTAGTACATTTGAATATCATTTTATCACCTGAAATATTTAATGCTGAATAATGATCAAATGGGAATTTATGGAATTACAATGCAAAGTTACATGATACAAGTGATATTGGAACAGGGTTATTTCATTGAGGATAAATATACTGTCACAAAGTTACTATCATGTAGTGCATCTGTGTTAATTGTATGCTTATAACTTTCACATGCGTAAAGTGCAATAAAAGTTGGTTATAAAACATTTCTACAGGCCCTATACTCTGTTGTAAGAAAGCTTTTAAAATATTTTTGATTTTCAATTAAGCATTCTAATTTAAAAACCATGGAAACTAATTGCTGAGTTCTATCTGATTAGCATATATGTGACTTCAACATTATAATATTATTATAATGTGTTAATACTTTATGTCAAATAAGCCTTTTAGATTCGAGCGAAATGGAAAACTAAACATTAAATGTTACCTCCCAGGCATTAACATGATAAGGATTAAGCATTTTCATTTCTTTTTATAATTTGTCATTGGATCATGCTTTCCATTTTTTTTTCCTTTTTAGTAACTAATTCCATTGCAATGGCATTTAATCTGTTTATTAGTGAAGGTAGTTTACATTCTGTCAGTGCTAAAACAAGGGTACATGTATAACACAAAAGAACCTCTCAAGATGTTATACAGGCATCCAACATTACATCAATACTTTTATGATAATTTAAAAGGTTCTATTTCTTACATTTTTACCAATGGACCAAATATGTATTTGTTATTATTTATTAATGTGCTATTTGTTTTTACTGTTTATGAACACATTTTTGATGAAGCACTAAATTCTATCTACAATACTTATTAATATAAATAATATCATAACATGCTTTACCACTTAATGCCAACTTCTGAATCCAGTAATAAGTCACAAAAAAATATATTGATTGTCTTACGTACAGAAAATTATTTAACCATTTATTTCATTCAATTTTTTCTATATTACTGACATTGACAGTTATCCTTTTTGTTTTTATTCCTCAACTAGTCAACATGCACCAAAAACAATAGAGTCTGTAGACCTGACATTCCTCCAAATTCGAACGTTGTTTTATAATTGACTTTTATGTTTTCTGGTGAAGTCAGTTTAATCATTACAATTAAGGATGGCAGAGAATATGTACATGTAGTAATGTATTGGATATTGTGGTCATCAGTATTGTTTTAAGGAAATAATTAAAACTAAGGTGAACAGCTTTTGTATTTAATAGGCAGTTTGGAAAAGGTGTTAAATGTGGCCTTAGAATTTAGGCCTGTTTTAGTCTTTTATTTAAAAATGTAAAAAAAAAATGCAGTACATATGTGATAACACCCCCGCTAAAAAAAATAAAAATAAACAAACTCAAAATTGAATGCGTTTGAAAAGTGAGACAAAGAAGGTGAAGGTTTCAAATAAATCATATTTAAAAAATGTCTAAGCTTGCTCAGTTACCGTTTATTATAAGGAAATAAGAAATAAGGATTTACAGTATAATGTATGCTTAATTAGGTCCTGTTATGAGATTAGCTCTATAGCCTATTAAATCCTGAAGTAAAAGAAAAAATAAGATCATTTTTTGTTTAGGTTTGTAATGAATAAATTTGAAAATGCTATTATTTGTAAGAAATTATGCTTAATCACATTAAATATGTCAGAAATTATTAAAAAATCATAAACATGCTATTACATAGTGTTTTTTTATTGTATATTCCATAAAGTTGGTGTAGTATTAGTGAATTACAAATTAAGTATATAAGTGATGCAAAACACACAAACAACTGATGGCTATCTAATATATAGTTTTATTATAACACCTAGAACAAAACTCATTTACACCTACATTTACTATATGAATTTATGTAAAAGGTTTACCTAAGCCATATTTTGGACAAGTTCAAAAATTGCACATGTTTCTGGAATAGCCTCCACCTGGTATATCCAATACCCAGGAGGCAAGAGGACTTGATAAAATTGAAAGTTAATGACCTGGTATTGCTATTGGCTAAAAAACGCTCTTCTCAAAGAAAACTGAAATTTAATATCCTGACCCACATGATGAGAATATTGGTGCATGAAACATAAAAATAAATGTTCATGCAGCATTGTAATTTACTTACAAATATTAAAAAATATGCCCTTGTGCAGGAATAATTCTGCCAATCCAATTTCTAGATTCTTCAATTAGCATCTTCTAAAACGTGTGAGAGACTTAAAAATTCGTAATCATTTTAGGTGCTTCAAACTGTTGCCGTCTCAAGATATCTGACAGCAGAATACATAATGCATCTGTTTCTGGTAGTACGGCAGAAGACATTGACAAACTTTTAGTCACACTGGACAAAAGTGTTGATAAACATTATGTGTCGAAGGTTATCTTTGGTTTGGGTACAAACGACGTCACAAAAAACAATACAGATAAAGAAATAATTTGTATTAATATGACAAATGCTTTAAATAAAGTAAAAGCAGAGTTTCCCAATGCTGATATAAGCATATTCAGTATACTGCCAAGAAAGGGCAAAGGACCAAATTTTACAAAATGTAATCTGACATCTCATTCTGTAAATTTGTATATGGAAAAGGTATGCTCAAAAGATCAAAGACTATCTTTCGTCGATCTTTGGGATGATTTCTGTCGACCAGGCATGGGTTGCACCCCCGTTAAAACAATGTTTGACAAAAATGACCCATCCGGGGTACATGTTAATCTAGAAGGGGCAAAACAACTGGTTTCTCATATCAAGAACTTTATGAGCATAGACAGATTAGGCGAGTACGAAACACCCAGTTGTAAAAAGAGAACTCGAAGTTCAGCTTCTACACCAGGATCAGCCGAGAAACAACTACCAAAAAGACAAAACTCTTCTTTGGAAGAAACTGTTACAAAATAGATTATTCCAGCACAATTTTTTAAACGAGCTAATGAAGAACTTGGTGTAAAAAAATGTATATATCAATATTAATTTTTATCATATTATGGAAAATTTAAAAAAAAAAATCATTGCTCTTATCAAGCTTATTGTGTATGCAAAAACTTGCATGTATTGTAAATATTTAAAAAAATTATTGAACTATATTATGTTATTGATACACATATGTGTATGTGTTGGTGAAATAATTAAGCAAGTAATAAGTATCTATATATAAAATATATGTTATGGGAGATAACTCTAAAAAAAAATGCACTATTAATGTGCATGCAAAATAATTTGTGAATATATTGAAAATCTGTCAGACTTTTATTATGTTGTATAACACAAATGAAATCATTGTACTGTGCAGTAAACTAAATATACAAGTTAGAAGTTTATAATATACATATTTATTTTTTCCCATAAATTATGTCTATTCGTTTAGTTTCATTAAACGCAAACGGTATGGGAGATAAGTCAAAACGGAATGCATTGTTTCAATGGTGTCAGAAAAAGAATTTTGATTTTATATGTTTGCAGGAAACTCATTGTACAAAAATCGTAGAAAATGAATGGAAAAAAGAATGGGGAGGGTTAAGTTTTTGGTGTAACGGGACTTCCGTTTCTAAAGGGGTAGCAATTATAGTGAAACCAAATTTAGATATTAACGTTACTGAAAAATATAGAGATGCAGAAGGAAGGAAATTAATAGTTGAATTCAAACTAGCCTCAAACGAAATTGTTCGAATTTTTAATGTCTACGCCCCTAATAATGGCATAGAAAGAAAAAATTTCTTTAATAAGTTAATTATAAATATTGAAAATGATGTTTTGAATTATGTTATGGGAGATTTTAACTGTTGTCTAAATAGGAAATTAGATAGAAAACATATGCCCAAGCGTGAAGATGTAGGCAATCATGAACTAAAAAACTTTATTGAAAAAAATGAATTGACGGACATTTGGCGTCTCAGATATCCAAATAAAAAACAATACACGTTTTCAAGGGGTCAATCATACTCGAGAATAGATTATATATTCACTAGTGAGAATATTGATTGTAGATTAAACAATGCAAAAATTGTATATTTCCCTTTCAGTGATCATGACGGCGTGACAATTACTATGAACATCATCGAACCAGAAAGAGGCCCGGGTTATTGGAAAATGAACAATAGTGTAATTAAAACCGACCTATTCAAAAATACATTTGAAACATTCTGGAAATCTTGGAAACATAACATAAATAAATTTAAAGATAAAAAGGAGTTCTGGGACTTAACAAAAACTAAAATAAAGGACATTACAATAACTATTTCAAAAAAGCTTCTGTTAAATGAAAATGAGGTTAAAAAGTGGGAACATAAATTAGAAAATCTACTAGAAAATGATGGAACGCAACAAGATCTAAATGAGGTTGAACAACTAAAAAATGATATACATAAATATTACGAACAAAAAGCAGAAGCTGCCCGCATAAGATCAAAAATAAATTGGTATGAAAAAGGTGAAAAATCCACAAACTATTTTTTCAGATTAGAACAAAAACGAGGAAAAGAAAAACTATGGTCAAAAATAAAAGCCGAAAATGGCACATACAAAAATAATATCAATGAAATCTTAGGCGAACAATTAAAATATTATGAGAAACTTTTTACCTCGGGGGGTTGTAATAGAGAGGCTGGGGAAAAATTACTACATAATGTAAATAAAACTCTATCTGAAGCAGAAAAACGTTTATGTGATAGTGAAATTACGAAAGATGAAATTTTCAAAGCAATTAAATTAATGAAAAAGGATAAATCACCAGGGGAAGATGGCATAACTGCAGAATTTTATCAAGAGTATTGGTTTTTGATACAGAATGAGCTTACGCAAATATTAAAAGAAACTTTTTTTGATAAAACGCTTTCCGAATCGCAGAGACTTGGAATGATAACCTTATTATATAAAAGTGGAGAGAGGGAGGATATTAAGAACTGGCGACCAATTACATTATTAAATGTAGACTATAAAATTTGCTCAAAAATTCTGGCTGAACGTTTGAAAATAGTTCTACCATCAATTATAGAAACAGATCAAAAAGGGTTTGTTAAGGGCAGGAATATTTTTGATTCTAATAGAATGCTGCAAGATATTTTCGATTTTATAGATATGGAAAACGAGGAAGGAGCCATCCTTTTTCTTGACCAAACAAAAGCTTTTGATTATGCAGAATGGGAATGGTTAGATGCATGTTTGGAAAAATTTCAATTTGGGGAAACTTTTCGGGAATGGGTAAAAATGTTACTAAAAAATGCGAAAACTTGTTTAATGACTAACGGGTTTCAATCAAGATATGTCCCGATTTCTAGATCAATCCGCCAGGGCTGTCCAATATCGCCGATGCTATACATTTTACAAGCAGAGCCGATGGCAGCCACAATTAGGGCTAATCCAAAAATTCAAGGAATTAATTTACCCCACCCCAACACAGAAAATGAAAACAAAGAGGTTAAGATAAATATGTTTGCAGACGATACACAATTTTTTAATAAAACAGAGGAATCAATCGAGGAAACATTTAAGGTTTTAGAAATATACGAGAAAGCATCGGGAGCTAAGATAAATTATGAAAAGACTGTAGGGGTATATTTGGGTCGATGGAAAAATAAAACACCAAAATATAAAAAAATTAGGTGGTCAAGTGAACCAATTAAAGCATTGGGAGTCACGCATGGATACAGTGTTAATATAGAAGCTATATGGTTAGAAAAAATAAAGAAAATTAATGCGTGTCTTGAGGTTTGGAAATCTCGTGACCTAACATTCAAGGGCAGGGTCTTAATATTAAAATCATTGGTTATATCTAAAATAGGGTTCGAAATGGAAATGCGAGGTATACCCGAAAAATATAAAAAAGAAATAAACAATATCATGTGGAATTTTATATGGGAGGGAAAAGTAAATTTAATAAAAAGGGACGTGTGTTGCTTACCAGTAGAGGAAGGGGGGATGGGTATGACCAATATAGACTCGTTCATTAAATCCAAACAAATCAAAAGTATGCAAAAGATTTTAAGATCAAAAACAGATAACTGGAACACGATAGCCAAATGGTGGTTACAGAAGTTTGATATCAAATATAATTGTGATAATTTTTTAGCAAAATGTTCGGATTTACGAGGATTACAAATTGAAAGTTTTCCAAAATACTATCTTGATTTAATTAAAACGTGGTCTAAAGTTTTAAGTATGCAAAGCCCAATAAATAAAAACGATATCCTTAACCAACAATTATTTGGAAACATAAACATTCAATACAACAAAAAACCTATTTTCTTCGCTAACTTCGGAAAAAGTGGAATTCATACCATAAAAGATATTTGGGATGAAAAAACGAAAAATATCAAAAGCGACAACTTTATATACAATATCCTTAAAGATAAAAGAAACTGGATTTCGGAATGGACAAGACTGAAATTAGCTTTTCCAAAATCGTTCAAGGACAGACTAAAAAACGTCCACGTTCATCCCGAACAACAAAAAAAGGGTTATTATATTAAAAATACTTTTGAATTTTACAATAAACAGAACAAAGTGGTAATCCCAAGTGAAATATCTTTGAAATTAATCCAATATTCGTTAAATTTAGATATAGTTCCAAACTGTCACATAAAATGGAATATTCAGTATAATTCGGAATTACCTTGGAAAAAGATATGGCTAAATTTAAATGAAAGTATGTCCTCTAGGAAAGCAAATCAAATTAGCTGGAAAATTGTTCATAAC